TTTTTTCTTTTCGGATATGCGTCAACCCGTCTCTGAATGTCAAATCCCCATGCTGACGGATATTTGGAAGTAGTAAGTTGTGCCTACTGTAGCCTGTATTACTACGAAATACTGCTGTTTGTGAGTGATGTATCGCTATTGCTGAGCACAGTAGCACTTGTCTGATCAAGGTTCGGAGTCTGTGCCATAAAATACCGTGTACTGCTGCTGTTGTGTACTGATGGAACTACCCATTAATGGTACAGATGTCTCTTCAAATGCCATCAACACATGTCAGCTGTGAAAAGGTATGATAGGGAATGCATTAATTGGTTTGGCGAAAAAGGAAAATGTCTTACTTGTAAGCATACTCTGTGCGTTGATTTCACTCAGTCGGTAGATGACATGGTGATGAGTCGCACTGTGGAAGGCTGGAACATGCTACATCGCATTCGATGTGTACTCATTGTTCACGAATTCTTCCCCTGCTGCATTGAATCCAATCGTAGCACTTGTGCCCCACCCCATAAGATCGCAGTCGTAGGTAAATATAGTGTAAGTGTAGGTACCATCGGTTATAAGAATCACTTGATATGAGTTTTCCTGTCAACAATCAGAAGGAACCATAATGATGTTCTAATTCAATGTGTTTCACTTACCCCTGAACCAAAGTAGGGATGAACTGCATCGTAGAACACAACGAGCATCCACGTTCCTTGGAATGGTGATGGCTTTTGTGCCCTCACATATGCACTTATGTGCTCCAAGAGGTAACCGGATGTGTGCACCTCATATAAGATCTGTCCACCTCCTCCCCTAGTATCGGCATCATCCCAGAACGGTGCCACTAGATAGCGGGAGCTTATAAAGAAGTTGCCTGGGAATGGCTGGTTGAAGAAACTTCCGTAGGGTTGCTCAAATGCTAGTAGTCCATTGATCGCAATCTGTATAATATGGTCAAATGAGCCTTACAAACTGTTGTGTTAGTATAGGTTTAGAAGTACGTACATAGACTTCCTCTCGGTCACTACTCCAGAATGGAAATCCGTAGTTTGGAAGGGTTATGGGTCCAAATGTACCCTCATCAGACTCTGGTAAGATTACTGGGTCGACTCCAACTGTTGCATTCAGTACCAGCATCCTGAGGGTTCCACTGTCCATTGCTATTCATGGGGAGAGAAAAGGAGAGAAGAACTGTAAGTGCAGTGAATCAAAGGTAAGCCCAAGCTAAACATTCCCCAACTGCCACTTGGTTTATAATATGACCAATAGCCTTGCAGAATTAATCTATCCTATCACCTTCTCCAAATATCTATATCTATATCATGTGTACAAAATGCGGTGTCCTCTCTGTATTATGTGTAATAGAGTTGAGATTTTTCCGAAATTAGTGCGGTATTGAGAGTCTGTGTGTAGTGATATACGACTAACCTTCGGTAGTTACTACAACTGCCCCAGTACTTGGCCCCATTCCTGCTCCAGTACTAGCCGCTACAGTGCAGGAAAGCACCTCATTTCCAACTCGACTGTCAAAACAGTAGCTCCTTATGTGTTGTTTGACAATTTGTTCGTATGTCGTATCGCTGCCAGAGCAGAGTAGTCTGTAAGATACGATGACTCCGTTTTGTTGATCTTTTGGTGGGGGATCCCATGCCAAACACACTTCCGTGGCATCCACAGCAACAGTGAAATTTGCTGGTGCCGCACTTGGAGCTTTAGGAGAAACATTCAGAGTTAAAAACACACAAGTCGTTTTTTCGAGTGGACTGCGTACCTCCTTCGGCTGTGGTGAATGACAGTATCTCCGTACTTACACCAGTGGAACCAGTAACGTCATTTGTGACTGTAATTTGAAAATAGTACGTTGTTGTGTATGCTAGTCCTGGGAGGGACCTGGAATACACCTGGTCGACAATACTGGTGTTAGATCCACTCGAGACTGCCGTGAATAAGGTAAGACTGTCCGGGCTGATGCCATACCCAATGGTGTACGTCTCTGGTGATGAGGCAATGTAGGGGACCAGCCAGGCTATTGTTACAGACAGCCCAGTGTTGTCTATTACTGAGATGTTCCTAGGAAGCCGAGGCCAACCTGGGTTCATGAACGTGCATAATACTCATTATATCCGTAACGGTCTCTGCTATACACTACCTTCAAGACAAGTGTCGTTGATGTCAATGCAGCAATCTCCACGAGTGCGGCACCTATCGTCGCAGAAGCAATTAGCAGGTGAGCCTGCACAGAAGCCTCCTTCGCAGCACGTTACATAAGATGCTGCTGCACAAGAGCCTGTTGTAATCCAGAAGCAGAAAAAGTGTGAAAGAGCCTGTTTATACATTGGTCCAAGATGTACTAAAACATACCAGGAGTGATAGAACAATCTGTTTGGGGTCCTTCTTTGGCTGTTAGGAAGGGTGTTAAGATAAAATGTCAAGGGGAGGTGTAGTCAGTGGCAACTCACGTTTACAGAAGGTATCATTTTCAAAATCATATCCTTCTGGGCAAGCACAGGTGAAACCAGCGCCATTCACAAACGTTAGTAAGCACATGTGACTGCATTCACTGTTCAGGCAAGGGTTATCAGCTGGGCGAGAAAATTTACTTGGAGCTCAATATACCACACAATGTTTTAACTTACCTTGTGGCTGTAAATCAGATCTTAATGCTTTTATTCCGTACGGAGTGTGAAGGAAAGTAACTATCTCACTGAAGTATCCCTCATTTTCCAGTGCCCCATGCTCCTTATGTGTGGCATAGATCTTATTGGTTTCCCAGTCACTCCAGAATAGAATGTCGTCTACAACAGTGACTGCAAATGGAGACACCAGTCCGGTTCCTGCAGTTTCGACCACGGTCCTTTCCGAGCCATCAAAGTTGGAATACTCCAGTCTCTGTTGCCCTGCATCTGACCAATAGATTCTGGCGGAACCGTAATCGATTGCGATTCCATTTGGTTGCCATATGTCAGTGTAGTGCAATACCCGTCTTTCGCCACCGTCCATTCCTGCAGTTTCAATCTTACCAGTAAGTCCGTAGTCGGTCCAAAACATGGCTCTATGTTGATATGAGATACATTGCTGTGCATCTGACCACCGGAATAACATACCTGTTGACAGGATCGACGGCAATTGCCCTCGGTATGCTGTTTGCTCCTGCTGTTAGCACTTCAACCCTTATGTTTGTGTCGAGGTCGAGAGCCTCTATTCTTGACCAAACAGAATCAGTCCAGTAGAGTTTGTTTGACACCCAATCCACGGCAACGTCATCTACAACAAGATTATTTCATCAATATTTCTGTTTCATTATGTTTAGTGATTGGCGATTTACCGACAGAAGAGATGCATGTAGTAACAAGTACTTCTTCGCTTGTACCATCGAGTTTAGCGCGGTGGATAGTATCAGTGGTAATATCAGACCAAAACATTGAAGAATCCCTGTAATACAGTTCAGTGTAGACATAATAGAGCAATTACTCAGTGATGCAGATGTGTGTGTGTGTGTTGTTTGTCACTCACGTGTGTAAGTAATCTATGCCAACCACTGTGCCGCTAGTGTTTGTTCGGACAGTTTCAGAGCTGATGCCCTCAAAGTGTATTTGCGATATGTGATGTCCATGGGCAACAAGAATATTGTAGGCAGCCCCTAAATGTGAAAAGTATGTTTTATCGACCACTACAACTTGTTTTTTAACTTACCATCCGTATCTATGTTCGATCATCAGAGGCATAGTATAGAAGAAGAAAAAAACATAAATCACAAAAATATTCTTTACTTTATTACTTACCTGGGCATGTCATGTCTATATCGTAGCAACAGTCTCCAAAGAAATGACATATAGCGTCACAAAAACATCCTTGCACACTGCAAGCAAAACCAGTACAGCACTCAGTGAATCCTGCGTCCACACAGCTCCCTGAAAAGAAAGAAAACACAGTGTCCTATCCTATAATATGTTAATCTGTAATGCACCATAGGATATTATACCTAGGATACTCTATGTGCCATAAGAGTATTACTATACCTGCAGAAAAGTGTGGTTCTGGGGTCATTCCAAGGATATGATTGCTGACTTCCAGTTCAAATATCAGGTTGCTCCAATCGGATGAGTTATGGAGACAGGCAATTTCGTCAGTTTTTATCAATACTCCTGCTGAAGATGTACTCAGTGGATGAGTGTATACATCTGATGTAGGTGCATAAAAGCCAATTGTAGCAGATTCTGACCATCCTAGTTCACCACAGTGGTATATCATTACACCGTACGATTTGGTCCCATTGGTAGTCAGTACAGCTTGGAAAGTATTTCCCTGAAAATCATATCGGAGATATTATATAGCATGCACTTAATATAATATGTGTGATACTTACGGTTGCCAGGTTTGAAGGCTGCACGTTCTCCCAGAATGCTACTAGCATCCATGACCCCACGAAGTTGTCATCACCATACTCTCCAGCTATGAATGAATCAACCATTGCTACTAAATTTAATGAGTTTTCACGAGTGTGCAGCTTCCAAGACACAGTGCCACCCATTGTCGTGTCAAAGTTTGCCCAGAATGGAGCAATCATGTAAGTCCAAAAAACGTCTGGGTCATCGGGTGGAAAAGCTTCCGGCACTTCATCTATCAGCGGTATTCCAAATGTTATGTACCCATCAGTGGCGACCTTTAGCAAGAAAATATACTCATCATCCCTGATATGTATTACTATACTCTCTCTCACATATGCAGACTGGTGGTAATATCCTCCAAAGGCAAAATCGCTGGGGAATGTTATTTCAAAGGAGCTGCAGTGTTGACAACTGAAAAGTGTGCCGCCATCGACGCTTGTGTCCGTCTGTTCCAGGAATTGAAGGTACGCAGCTTGGGCTGGAGAATATACCACAACTATACGAGGAGCTATTGTGTGACGATTATACTTACGCTCAAATTGAGTGAAGAAGGCATACACCTGAGTATGCCTGACGTAGACACCAAACCTGGCCACAACTCTGTAATAGTACAGGGTAGATCCTGCTAAGTCCCGCAGTGTAACATCATACTCCTCATTATTGATATTGGTGTCAGTAATACTCTGCACTACGTCTGATTCAAGGTTTAAGTCAGTGGCCGACAACCCATATTCCACTGTGTAACTTTCTTGCTGAGTAAATCGTGGAATGTTCCAGGATATTTTAGCTTCAGTCATGGTGAAAGATCTGACTCTCACGTTGTCTGCATGCATAAAGACTAATGAAAGGTACTAAAGACATGTCAAATCTATGTTCACCTGGTGGTGGGATTTCAGGGTTAGCTGCACTAAGGCGGTAAATGATATTGCTGAAGTTTGAGACTGGAAGATTGAAACAGGCTACTTCCCGGGTGGATGGAACATTATTCATGAAAAATTTGTCTCCATCACTGTACCCTATCGTCACTCCATTATCCCACTCCATCAGGTCACACTTATACGTAAAAAGAGAATAGGAGTATGTTCCGTTTGTAATTATGATGGCCTGGAATGTGTTCTCCTGCATAAATTTGCAAATTACATGAATATATCATATCAGACTTGCAAAACTAACCTCAGTATTAAAAACACCAAAGTAAGGATGTACAGCCTCCCAATAGACAATAAGCATCCAGGTTCCAGTGAAATCAAGTGCTGATCTTCTCCTCCGGATAAATTCGCTGACTTCTTCCAAGAAGTAGCCAGAGTCTTGGACTTCAAACGAGATTGTTCCACTCCCGAACCTGGTGTCAACGTCATCCCAGAATGGAGCAACTAGTGCTTGGCCGGGCACCGGAAGTTCTTGGTTGAAGAATGTATTGTAGGGAGTACCAAATGACAGTATTCCATTTGATCCAATCTGTACAAGAGCGAAAGACCAAGACCCCTTGTTACTTCACTTATTTTGAGTCACGATACAAAGAACAGGTTAGAGCGTGGTAAGAACACATTGAAAAATGCTGACCAGCAGATTAATCGTTACCCAAACTTAGAATAACCAACCAAAAGACCCAAACAAAATTGACCCTTTTCTTGCGGAGTGAGGGCGTACAACCTCGCATTCAGACTTTATTCAGCAATATCTCAACTCACATAAACGTCAGTTTGCACTGTGCCACCGAAGGGGAAGCCTCCAGGTATGTTTATTGGTCCGAAGTATCCTTCGTCGGTTCCAGGGAAAAAGAACTGCTCAAAATTGACATGGATGTCCATTGGAAGGAACGAGAAGTACGAATCGGCTTCCACGGCATCTGAAGAAACACGGAAAAGGAAGTAATCTCCCAACTTTTGAAATTTGAACAACTCACCGTCAGTGACAACGTTGATTGCTGGTGTTTCTGGACCATATCCTCCTGAGCTAGCAGCAGCCAAAGTGCACGACAGGTTGGTCACAGGTGGCAAGTCATACAGTGTGATGGTGTTGATATTCTTAATCTCAATGTCTATTTCACTTTGGGGATGACAGACTAGTCTGTAAGATACAATCGTCTGTGAGACTGTTGGTGTGGTCCATGCGAATGTGACGGATGTGCCCGCAGCTTCTGCTACAAAGTTGGTCGGTGGAATCTCAATAGCTAAGTAGTAACAAAAACAGTGCACGCCTATAAAATGGTGGTCATTTAGGTACTTGCAAACCTGGTTCAAGTGTATGTGAATGATATTACATCACTTGTCAGTGTGTAAACTCCAAACACCGAAACAACTTGCACATAGTATGTTGTGCCTTGCACTAAATTATCAAGGGTATTTGGTAGGTCTGCTCTTCCATCCCAACGCTTTGGATTGGGCCCACAGTGAATTCAAGATCGCTTTGGTCTGTGCCATATTGCACAGTGTAGTTCTGTGGTTCATCAATTGTAGTTACCACCCACTGTATCATTGTAGTGTCCAAAGTGGTATTAAATGCCTCCACATTTGCTGTAAGGGAAGAAGACAAGTAGGTAATAGAGAAACTGGTAGCTATTGCAACATTAACCAGTTTTAACTTATTAAGTATATACTTGGTGGTGGAAGTTCCGTTGTTCATTGCTGAGTCGATATATCACATTGCTCCAGGCACTGTCTGGAGAGTTGAGACAGGCCACATCCGAGCTGCTTGGGTTGTGATTGGCAAACATTTCACCAGCTGCATTGAATCCTATGGTTGCTCCATTATCCCATTCCATTAGGCCACATTGGTAAGTGAAAATTGTGTATGAGTAAGTTCCATCTGTGATCAGTATGGCTTGAAATGTATTCTCCTGCAAATCATAGTAGTCTAATAGTGTAAGATACCATGTCATTACTGTTACCTCAGAGTTAAAGAGGCCAAAGTATGGGTGCACTTGTCATAGTAAACCACACCATCATCATGTTCCCACAAAGTCAGTCGTCTGCTGCGTGTATGAAATTATTCACCTGGTCTAAGAAATACCCAGACTCATGTATTCTCATAAGATATGTCTCCTGTGTGAATCGGATGTCCACATCGTCCCAGAAAGGAGCCACAAGATAGCGGTCTTGTATGGCAGCATTTCCGGGGAATGCCTGGTTGGAAAAGCTGTGTTGTACCAGTCCCAAAGGAAAATCAATCCGTTCGTATCCAACCTGCCAACAAAAATCAACAGATGTCTTGTTTTTACTCGTCGCTTGTGTCTAAGTATTGTTGGTACTTACAAAGAGTTTGGTATCTGTATGTATATATAACACGGAAACACGGTGTGGATATACCTTAGGGACCCTTCATAACACATCATCTGACCATCATCTGTCACTGGAAGAGAACTCTTTGACTGGTAAGATAGGTAGCACCCATTGGTATCAGCGGAAGACAATCAGATCACTCTCGCTCTCTAAAGTTAAATGAGAAGTTAAAAACCATATATTTTTTATTATGTGAGTATATACCTTCTGTAGTAATAGAAATTTGGTTGGTGAATGGTCCAAATTCCGGCCAGAAGTTGACGTTATTCGAGCGGTGTCATCTTCTGGAGACTCACCATGTTATGTGCGCGTGTTTTTTGAGGCGCCCTTAGGGGTCCCCCCAATATAACGTAATTGTTGAAATGATGGATGCTGCAGGAGTCCTAGTGCACGCAAGATTGGAGTGTAGAGCAGCAGTCTCAGTACGGCAGAGCTCTCGCACACGCCATATACATGCACGTTGTTATCTTGTCTGTAGCGACCCGAGAGAGGGGGTGGTTTGTCGAGGATGGCGTCACACGACACATACACACGAGGACGGTATTATGAGTATAGTATTACTGTGAACGAGGAGAGGAGAGAGAGGACCTATCACCAGGAGGCATCTCTCTTCTTCCCAGGACACGTGAGGCGTGTCGAGCACAGGGTGCAAACACTCGGTAGGAAAGTAATAAAGAGATATACTGTCCTACACCTCAATAGTACTGGAGGGTCTGCATGATACTAGAGCTCGAGAGCTGAAGTTCGAGGTCAATTTCAAGGGTTCGAAGATCATCGGAGCTGGAGCTGATGCAGCTCCGTTAGAATCCTGAGGGATACCACCGGGAAATATTGAGAGAGGCATGACATTGATTAAGGTCGCAAATAGGCTGTGGGTTCTCACATAGATATGCTAAGGCGTCGTCTGTCACGGAGAGTCGTTCATTAGTTGGACCAAGAGTAAGAGAGAGTATGATTGATTTATTATTGGTATGGATACGTTTTGTGTTATCTTTGCTGCCGCTACACGCGGCTCGAGGTGATGACTGTCATGAGAGAAAATACATGGACTATATTGCGCTCGAAGGAGTGTTAACTTCTCATTTAACTTTAGAGAGCGAGAGTGATCTGATTGTCTTCCGCTGGATACAAATGGGTGCTACCTATCTTACCAGTCAAGAGTTTCTTCCAGTGACAGATGATGGTTTTGAGGGTCCCATAGGTATATCCACAGGGTTTCCCTTTGGGGGTTCCATACAAACCCAAGTCTTTGTAAGTACCACAATATAGACACACGAGTAAAAACAAGACATCTGTTGATTTTTGTTGGCAGGTTGGAACGAACGGATTGATTTCCTTTGGGACTGGGTACAACAGCTTTTCCAACCAGGCATTCCCGGGAAATGCTGCCATACAAGACCGCTATCTTGTGGCTCCTTTCTGGGACGATGTGGACATCCGATTCGACACAGGAGACATATCTTATGAGATACATGAGTCTGGGTATTTCTTAGACCAGGTGAATAATTTCATACGACGCAGCAGACCGACTGACTTTGTGGGAACATGGATGATGGTGGTTTACTATGACAAAGTGCACCCATACTTTGGCCTCTTTAACTCTGAGGTAACAGTAATGACATGGTATCTTACACTATTAGACTACTATGATTTGCAGGAGAATACATTTCAAGCCATACTGATCACAGATGGAAGTTACTCATACACAATTTTCACTTACCAATGTGGCCTAATGGAATGGGATAATGGAGCAACCATAGGATTCAATGCAGCTGGTGAAATGTTTGCCAATCACAACCCAAGCAGCTCGGATGTGGCCTGTCTTAACTCTCCAGACAGTGCCTGGAGCAATGTGATATACCGACTCAGCAATGGAACAAGCGAACTTCCACCACCAAGTATATACTTAATAAGTTAAAACTGGTTAATGCGGCAATAGCAATACCAGTTCTCTATACCTACTTGTCTTTCTTCCCTACAGCAATGTGGAGCATTTAAATACCACTTTGGACACTACAATGATGTACAGTGGGTGGTAAGCTACATTGATGAACCACAGAACTACAACTGTGCAATATGGCACAGACCAAAGCAGATCATTGATTCACTGTGGGCCCAATCCAAAGCAGTGGGATGGAAGAAGCAGACTACCAATCCCCTTGATAATTAGTAGCAGGCACACATACTATGTGCACGTTGTTTCGGTGTTGCGAGTGTTACACACTGACAAGTGATGTACTATCGTTCGCTACACGTGAACCAGTTGCAAGTACCTATGCCACCATTATAGGCGTAGACAACCTGTTTTGTCTATCCTTAGCTATGAGATTTACACGACCAACTTTGTAGCAGACGAGCTGCGGCACATCCGTCACATTCGCATGGACACCCCACCCAACCACCAACGTCTCACAGTACGATTGTATCTTACAGACTAGTCTGTCATCCCAAAGTGAAATAGACAATGGAGATTAAGAATATCAACACCATCACACTGTATGACTGGCCACCGATGACAACTGTCGTGCACTTTGGCTGCTGCTAGCTCAGGAGATATGTCCAGAAACACCAGCAATCAACGTTGTGTCACTGACGGTGAGTTGTTCAAATTTCAAAAAAGTGGGAGACTACTTCTTTCCGTGTTTCTTCTAGATGCCGTGGAAGCCGATTCGTACTTCTCGTGCCTTCCAATGGACATCCATGTCAATTTTGGCAGTTCTTTTCCCTGGAACCGACGAGGATACTTCGGAGCCGATAAACAGCTGGAGGCTTCCCCTTCGGTGGCACAGTGTGCAAACTGACGTTTATGCGAGTTGCGATATTGCTGAATAAGTCTGAATGCGAGGTTGTACGCCCTCACTCCGCAAGAAGGTCAATTGGTTGGGTCGTTTTTTGGTTGGTTATTCTAAGGTGGGTAACGATAATCGCTGGTCAGCATTTTCAATGTGTTCTTACACGCTCTAACCTGTTCTTTGTGATCGCGACTCAAATAGTGAAGTAACAAGGGTCTGGTCTGTCGCTCTGTAACAGAGTGGATCAAATGGAATACTGTCATTTGTAATCCCTACAATACATTCTTCAACCAAGACACTTCCGGTGCGCCGGCAAACGCCTAGTTGCTCCATTCTGGGATGACGTGACACCAGTTTCGGGAGTGGAACAATCTCGTTGAAGTCCAGACTCTGGGCTACTTCTTGAAGAAGTCAGCGATATCGGAGGAGAAGATCAGCGACTTGATTACACTGAACCTGGATGCTGATGTCTATTTGTGAGTGCTGTCCATCCTAACTGTTGAGTGTTTTTCCAAATACGAGGTTAGTTTTGCAAGTCATCTGTAGCACTGAATATCTTATCAAGCTATGAAGTAATTTGCAAATTATGCAGGAGAACACATTCACGGCCATCATTAATACCAACGGAACACTCCTACCTCTTTTACGTCTAAGTGCGACCTGATGGATGATAATGGAAGTGACGATAGGGTACAGTGAATGGAGACAAATTTCTATGAATAATGTTCATCACCGGAAGTAGCCTGTTTCAATCTTCCAGTCTCAAACTTCAGCAATATCATTTACGCTTAGTGCAGCTAACCCTGAAATCCGCACCACCCTAGGGTGAACATAGTTTTGGACATGTCTTTAGTACCTTTCATTTAGTCCTTTAATGCAATGCAGACACGTTTGAGGTCAGATCTTTTCAACCAATGACTGAAGCTAAAATACCTGGAACATTCCACATTTACTCAGTCAAGAAAGTTCACAGTGGATATGGGTTTCGGCCACTGACTTAAACTTGAATCAAGACGTAGTGCAGAGTATTATTTGACACCAATATCAATAATGAGGAGTATGTGTTACAACTCGGGACCTTAGCAGGATTACCCTGTCTTTACAGAGTTGTGGCCAGGTTGGTGTTCTACGTCAGCTACTCCAATGGCTTTGTATATGCATCTACATCAGATGTATACCTCATCCCTGATCAACTTCAGCAGGAGTATTGAATAAAACTGCGAAATTGATAAGTGCTGTCCCCCACTTAACTCTCCGCTTTGGACACCCGGATATTTGAACTGTGAAGTATCAGACGATCATAGCCTTGGCATGACCCCAGAACCACACTGTTCGTGCTGCGTATCGTACTACGCTATGGCAACATAGCGTACCTCGTATCATATACCATGGTGCATGACAGATTAACTATATCTATAGAGATCGGACACTGTGTTTGCTGTGCTTTGTCAGCAGAGCTGTGTGGACGCAGGATTCACTGAGTGCTGTACTGGTTTGCTTGCAGTGTGCAAGATGTTTTTGTGACGCGATATGTCATTTATTGGAGACTGTTGCTACGATATAGACATGACATGCCCAGGTAAGTAATAAAGTAAGAATATTTTGTGATTTTTATGTTTTTTTCCTTCTATACTATGCCTCTGATGATCGAACATAGATACGGATGGTAAGTTAAAAAACAAGTTGTAGTGGTCGATAAAACATACTTTTCACATTTAGGGCTGCCTACAATATTCTTGTGCCCATGGACATCACATATCGCAAAATACACGTTGAGGGCATCAGCTCTGAAACTGTCCGAACAAACACTAGCGGCACAGTGGTTGGCATAGATTACTTACACACGTGAGTGACAAACAACACACACACACACATCTGCATCACTGAGTATATTGCTCTATTATGTCTACACTGAACTGTATTACAGGGATTCTTCAATGTTTTGGTCTGATATTACCACTGATACTATCCACCGCGCTAAACTCGATGGTACAAGCGAAGAAGTACTTGTTACTACATGCATCTCTTCTGTCGGTAAATCGCCAATCACTAAACATAATGAAACAGAAATATTGATGAAATAATCTTGTTGTAGATGACGTTGCCGTGGATTGGGTGTCAAACAAACTCTACTGGACTGATTCTGTTTGGTCAAGAATAGAGGCTCTCGACCTCGACACAAACATAAGGGTTGAAGTGCTAACAGCAGGAGCAAACAGCATACCGAGGGCAATTGCCGTCGATCCTGTCAACAGGTATGTTATTCCGGTGGTCAGATGCACAGCAATGTATCTCATATCAACATAGAGCCATGTTTTGGACCGACTACGGACTTACTGGTAAGATTGAAACTGCAGGGATGGACGGCAGCGAAAGACGGGTATTGCACTACACTGACATATGGCAACCAAATGGAATCGCAATCGATTACGGTTCCGCCAGAATCTATTGGTCAGATGCAGGGCAACAGAGACTGGAGTATTCCAACTTTGATGGCTCGGAAAGGACCGTGGTCGAAACTGCAGGAACCGGACTGGTGTCTCCATTGCGTCACTGTTGTAGACGACATTCTATTCTGGAGTGACTGGGAAACCAATAAGATCTATGCCACACATAAGGAGCATGGGGCACTGGAAAATGAGGGATACTTCAGTGAGATAGTTACTTTCCTTGACACTCTGTACGGAATAAAAGCATTAAGATCTGATCTACAGCCACAAGGTAAGTTAAAACATTGTGTGGTATATTGAGCTCCAAGTAAATTTTCTCGCCCAGCTGATAACCCTTGCCTGAACAGTGAATGCAGTCACATGTGCTTACTAACGTTTGTGAATGGCGCTGGTTTCACCTGTGCTTGCCCAGAAGGATATGATTTTGAAAATGATACCTTCTGTAAACGTGAGTTGCCACTGACTACACCTCCCCTTGACATTTTATCTTAACACCCTTCCTAACAGCCAAAGAAGGACCCCAAACAGATTGTTCTATCACTCCTGGTATGTTTAGTACATCTTGGACCAATGTATAAACAGGCTCTTTCACACTTTTTTTGCTTCTGGATACCAACAGGCTCTTGTGCAGCAGCATCTTATGAAACGTGCTGCGAAGAAGGCTTCTGTGCAGGCTCACCTGCTAATTGCTTCTGCGACGATAGGTGCCACACTCGTGGAGATTGCTGCATTGACATCAACGACACTTGCCTTGAAGGTAGTGTATAGCAGAGACCGCTACGGATATAATGAGTATTGTGCACGTTCATGAACCCAGGTTGGCCTCGGCTTTCAAGGAACATCTCAGTAATAGACAACACTGGGCTGTCTGTAACAATAGCCTGGCTGGTCCCCTACATTGCCTCATCACCAGAGACGTACACCATTGGGTATGGCATCAGCCCGGACAGTCTTACCTTATTCACGGCAGTCTCGAGTGGATCTAACACCAGTATTGTCGACCAGGTGTATTACAGGTCCCTCCCAGGACTAACATACACAACAACGTACTATTTTCAAATTACAGTCACAAATGACGTTACTGGTTCCACTGGTGTAAGTACGGAGATACTGTCATTCACCACAGCCGAAGGAGGTACGCAGTCCAATCGAAAAAACGACTTGTGTGTTTTTAACTCTGAATATTTCTCCTAAAGCTCCAAGTGCGGCACCAGCAAATTTCACTGTTGCTGTGGATGCCACGGAAGTGTGTTTGGCATGGGATCCCCCACCAAAAGATCAACAAAACGGAGTCATCGTATCTCACAGACTACTCTGCTCTGGCAGCGATACGACATACGAACAAATTGTCAAACAACACATAAGGAGCTACTGTTTTGACAGTCGAGTTGGAAATGAGGTGCTTTCCTGCACTGTAGCGGCTAGTACTGGAGCAGGAATGGGGCCAAGTACTGGGGCAGTTGTAGTAACTACCGAAGGTTAGTCGTATATCACTACACACAGACTCTCAATACCGCACTAATTTCGGAAAAATCTCAACTCTATTACACATAATACAGAGAGGACACCGCATTTTGTACACATGATATAGCAAGGCTATTGGTCATATTATAAACCAAGTGGCAGTTGGGGAATGTTTAGCTTGGGCTTACCTTTGATTCACTGCACTTACAGTTCTTCTCTCCTTTTCTCTCCCCATGAATAGCAATGGACAGTGGAACCCTCAAGATGCTGGTACTGAATGCAACAGTTGGAGTTGACCCAGTAATCTTACCAGAGTCTGATGAGGGTACATTTGGACCCATAACCCTTCCAAACTACGGATTTCCGTTCTGGAGTAGTGACCGAGAGGAAGTCTATGTATGTACTTCTAAACCTATACTAACACAACAGTTTGTAAGGCTCATTTGACCATATACAGATTGCAATCAATGGACTACTAGCATTTGAGCAACCCTACGGAAGTTTCTTCAACCAGCCATTCCCAGGCAACTTCTTTATAAGCTCCCGCTATCTAGTGGCACCGTTCTGGGATGATGCCGATACTAGGGGAGGAGGTGGACAGATCTTATATGAGGTGCACACATCCGGTTACCTCTTGGAGCACATAAGTGCATATGTGAGGGCACAAAAGCCATCACCATTCCAAGGAACGTGGATGCTCGTTGTGTTCTACGATGCAGTTCATCCCTACTTTGGTTCAGGGGTGAGTGAAACACATTGAATTAGAACATCATTATGGTTCCTTCTGATTGTTGACAGGAAAACTCATATCAAGTGATTCTTATAACCGATGGTACCTACACTTACACTATATTTACCTACGACTGCGATCTTATGGGGTGGGGCACAAGTGCTACGATTGGATTCAATGCAGCAGGGGAAGAATTCGTGAACAATGAGTACACATCGAATGCGATAGCATGTTCCAGCCTTCCACAGTCGACTATCACCAATGTCATCTACCGACTGAGTGAAAACAACGCAGAGTATGCCTTACCAAGTAAGACATTTTCCTTTTTTCGCCAAACCAATTTACTGCATTCCCTATCCATACCTTTTCACAGCTGACATTGTTGTTGATGGCATTGAAGAGACATCTGTAACCATTAATTGGGTAGTTCCATCAGTTACACAACAGCAGCAGTACACGGTATTTTATGGCACAGACCTCCAGAACCTTGATCAGACAAGTGCTACTGTGCTCAGTAATAGCGATACATCACTCACAAACCAGCAGTATTTCGTAGTAATACAAGGCCTACAAGTAGGCACAACTTACTACTTCCAAATATCCGTCAGCATTGGGGATTTGACATTCACGACTGACGTGAACGAATTCCGAACACGTGATCTCGGTAATTACAGAACATACAACGTAATAGCAAACGTACGTGAACTATGTATCTGTTTGCAGCACCAACCCTTCCACCGCAAAACATCTCCATATCTGTCGAAGGAGTTGCTGTAACTCTAGCATGGAGCCCACCACCTGACACCCCAGGCCTCCTCTCCTACACCCTGTACTGCTCTAATGATGAGACAGAAGTTGTAGTAAAGACAATCCAGTCCTTTACCCTAGAGGAGCTGCGTCCCAACATTCTGTATAGTTGTTACATTCTAGCATCCACCAGTGGAGGAGATGGACCACCTGCTCCATTCAGTTTCATGACAGAAGGTCTGAATCTAAAAACAACTTACCAGCTTGTTTGTTTTAATGTACTATGTTCTTAACCTACTGCTATCATTGACAGATGTACCTGCAAGCATATCAACTCTACCTTTCGTTGCAATGAACACTTTGTTTGGAGTGGAAGAAACAATATTCCTTGGTGGAGATGAGACAACTTATGGGCCACTGCAGTTAAATGGAGGGTTCCCCTTTGGCAGTACCACTCAGACGCAAACATGGGTACGTTATTCCAGACTTGGTCTTTTAAAAGTCTAAAAAACACTTCCATGCATTAGGTGGCTGTGAATGGGCTTTTGTCATTTGGCACCTCCTATAACAGCTTTTTTAATCAACCATTTCCTGGAAGTTCAACCATCAACACCCGATATCTAGTGGCTCCGTTCTGGGACGATATTGACACCCGATATGGCGATAGCCAAATCTCCCTATGAGGTCCACGACTCTGGCTACTACCTGGATCGTGTTAACCTGTTTTTGAAGAGAAACAGACCTTCAACCTTCGAAGGAACATGGATGATGGTTACGTACTGGGATGCTGTTCGTGCATACTTTGGCTTCTTTAACCCCGAGGCAAGGGACTGTATAATATACCTTTTGAAATCTATGTGCTCTTGATACCATTTCATCTACAGGAAAACACCTTCCAAGCCATACTTGTGACCGACGGGGTGCACTCGTACGCAATATTCACCTACAAGTGTGGTCTGATGCAGTGGGACAGAGGTGCAACAATCGGTTACAATGCTGGAGGAGAGAAATTTGCCAACAACGATCCGTCATCGTCGGCAGTGGCCTGCCTGAACACACCCGAATCAGACTACAGTAACGTCATATTCTTGCTCAGTGAGGAATCCCCCGAGATTCCACCCCCACGTAAGTCAGCATTATGGATTAAAGAAAGATAGATGATTCTAAACATTTTTCTATCTACAGAGAATGTTACAATAACTGGTATCACTACCAGTGCTGCTACTGTTTCGTGGGTGATTCCATCATTCATAGCACCTGAAGAGTACTACGTATCATATGGGACTGATCCCAATAACCTCGACCAGACCAGTGAAACTCTCAACAGTCCTCAAGACACGTCTGTTACAGACCGAGCCTATACGACCACTCTTACTGGACTGGATTCTGGTTCAGCCCTATTATATCCAAGTGATTGCAGTTTTTGACGTCGAATTTAAACGATACACGGAAACCGCGTTCGTAACAAAGGAACCTGGTAATGCTTTCTTTATTATTAGCATGAAATAAATGTGAGAAAATTTGCTGTTAAATTTCACAGCGCAAACTGCATATCTTGTATTAAATCCTGTTGAACCAACATTTCTGGAACCATGTGATGATTGCTCTTCCGAAGAAATTGTACTCCCAAGCGATTTTCCATTCGGAGGATATTACCACCAATCTGCATTCGTAAGTGTAGACATAATATTGTTCGTTCCTGTCAAAGTTTCCTAATTATTGCTTTCAGGTTAGCACAAACGGTCTGATTTCGTTTGGGCGGGAAGTTTCCAACTCAAATCCAGTTCTCTTCCCGTCCACCACCGCCATTGTAGCCCGAAGCTACATTGTGGCTCCGTTCTGGGCTGATTTTGACACCACTACTGGTGGCCAGGTGTCTTGGTGGATACAGACAGGATCATCAATACAACTTCTTACTGCCTCAAGCTTTATCCAGCTACAATATGGAGATGAGGACTTTACGGCCACATGGATGCTAGGTGCATACTGGGAAAACCTACAGCCTGTGAGTCAAAGTGTTTATAAATAAGTATTATTGTGATGATGATAAAAAATCTCCCGTAGGAAAACTCTTTCCAAGCTGTTCTGCTAACAGACGGTTCAAAATCCTACGCTGTTTTCACATACACGTGCGGATCGCTGCAGTGGTCTGAGGCAGCGACAATAGGATTAAACGCACCAGACAACAACATTGTAATCAACCATCCGCTATCAGGCACGGGGTTCACTGATGAAATAGCCTGTATTCGTACCGGGTCAGACACGAATAACTTAATCTATGACCTGCAAACAAGCTCAGTCATACTTCCAGTGACACCTACCCCATACATCAGCCTAGGTAAAAAGACTGTTGCAGATTAAAATATTAAACTTTCAGCTTCCTTCCGATCAATATGCTACATAGGAAGCTGCGTTGCTGCTGGATATACAGATTGCTGCGAAGGTTTCTCTTGCTTTGGGGCACCAATCCAAGACTGCTACTGTGACAGCACGTGCACATTGTTTGGTGATTGCTGCCACGATTTCGACCAAGTTTGTGATGGTAAGTTGTGCCATCAAAATACCTTAAGCTCTTCATAATTTATAATGTATTACACAACCAGCTCCTGGAGCCTTTAATGTTCTTGTGGGTCACGGCCACCACATATCACAAATCCACTACGAAGGACAAGCCACAGAGACTGTGAGGACAAACACAACGGGGACAGTAGTTGGAGTCGACTACTCTGAGTCGTAAGTTTCTCTGGCATCAAACCCAGGTTAAAGATATGTAAACTGAGAATGCAACTGAAGGTTGTCCAAGATGTACTGGTCCGATGTCACCACTGACACCATTCATCGCGCAAACATGGATGGAAGCGAGGAAGAGGTTCTAGCAGACACAGATCTCATCGCAGTTGGTGCGTATAAGTTCACAATACGTCGCATTCCCACGTCACGAGGATAGAATCCATTTCTATCTTCGTGGCATGGCACAACACGGTGCAATGCGATGTAGTGTGAATCTAGCCTAACTCTGTACCATCATCTTATAAACTTCACATGTGATGCTCAGATGATATTGCTGTTGATTGGGTGTCTGGTAAGCTCTATTGGACCGACGCTGGATGGGCAAGAATAGAAGCAATGGACTTGGAGAACCCTTATCAGAATTCAACTCATACGGACTGGAACTAACACTGCGCCGAGAGGTATTGCAGTTGACCCAACAAGAAGGTAGACGGACATAAACCCAATACAGAAACAATGTAAATGCCTCACAATGTGTTCATTAGGGTAATGTACTGGACAGACTGGGGAATAAAGGCCAAGATAGAGGTAGCATCCATGGATGGATCCGAGAGACGAGATTTTGTCGTCGATGACCTCTCACAACCGAACGCCATCACCATTGATCTCGAATCAGAGAGAGTCTATTGGGCCGATTCCAACCTTGACAAGATAGAGTTCATCAGTTTTGAAGGGACTGGCCGAGTGCAGGTAGAAACAGAGGCAACGGGACTGCTCCACCCATTTGGACTCAGTGTTGGGGGTGAAGTTCTTTTCTGGAGTGACTGGGCCACTAACTCAATATACGGAACTCACAAAGAGCATGGAGCAAACGATGGGCAAGGTTACTTCAGTATCATTGCTACCTTTGACTCAGCTCCAAACGGACTTGAAGCTATAATACCTGGAAGACAACCTCAAGGTGAACAAACTTATTCCAATACTTGTATTCTGTCAAGTCGTGATTTCTATTAACAGTGGATAACCCATGTGATGGAAATGGCTGTAGCCACGTCTGCCTTCTAAGTGAAACATCCACAGATGGTTTTACATGCGCTTGTCCTTTGGGCTATGAACTGGACACTTCCACAGCTTTGTAGAGGTTAGCTCATCATCATAGCCCCACAAGCATATGTTGAATATTGAATTTCATATTGATTGTTAGTTATCGGCGGGTTCCCATCTCCCACCCCACCATCGGACGGTTAGTTTTCACAACAGAGTTGGATACAATCTCGAAAGACATTGATATATACACCTCACACAGGTACATGCGCTGAAGCTGGTTACCAATACTGTTGTTACGGCTGGATTCTGTGCCGGATATCCTGCAACCTGCTATTGTGACTCGGATTGCTACAACCGTGAAGACTGCTGCAGTGACATTAGTGGCGTATGTGTCGAAGGTAAAAATGGAATTCAAAACTTCAGTTAGCAACGTATTAATCTTAAACCTGTAGGTTCCCCACAAACTCCAATGCAGATGCAGTGCAGTAGACATTACAGCTACATCTGCTCTCATTCAGTGGACAATACCGTTCGTTGTATCAACACAAGAAACCTACTATGTTATCTATGGGCTTGACTCATCTGCTCTCACATTGCAATCAGCACTCCAGTATAGCGGTCTCAATGTATCAAAAGTGTACTTTCAGTTTCTCTCAGGTTTGGATCCCTCAGATACATACTATTACAGGGTCATATCTAGCAATGATGCTGGAGCGACTGGAAGCATTGTGAAGAGCTTCATGACATTAGCTGGACGTAAGTTGACCTATGACCTATGACGGGTGTGTTACAAAGTGGTACTGCTGTATTGCACTTGCACTGATAATGATGTCCGTGCTTCTCTCTTGTTTCACTACAGCACCAAGTGGACCGCCTCTGAACTTTGCAGTTGAAGTTGTCGGCACTTCAATGGCACTTTCATGGTCTCCACCTAACGTCATGCAACAAAATGGAGATATTACTAACTACACAGTCACATGCACAGGAAGCCAACCCGTAGCCTCTGCCACTACCAGTCAGCTACAGTTCACAATCGATATTTTCACCCCTGGAGAAACTTTCCAGTGCACTGTATATGCAACAAACCAGCATGGAGATGGGCCACATACTGACACCTTATCAGTTACAACAGAAGGTAAGCATAATTATGGCTCAGTATCAAAAGATGTTCCCGTATATTTTCTTTTTTCCAGTTGTTTTTCCTGGAACTCTGGCATATCTGCCTCTTCTTGACATTGGGGACAGCCAAATTCTGCTGCCTCCCAGTGACGAAGGAATTTCTTCTTCTATAACCCCATCCGGCAATGGATTTCCATTCTGGAGTACCTACAGATCATCAATCTATGTAAAGTCTATGTAAAAGTCCTTGACATCCATCCCCTTTCTTTTTTCGCAATAGGTGGGAACTAATGGAATACTGTCATTCGACAGTGCATACGGTTCTTGGCTCACTTCAGTGTTTCCTGGTTCGGTCAGCTTCCGATACCTAGTGGCTCCATTCTGGGATGATGTTGACACCAGATTCGGAAATGGACGGGTCTCTTATGCAGTGTACAATTCCGGATATGCTCTTGATCACATCAGTGGATTTATCCGAAGACGAAAACCGTCAGACTTCCAAGGAACGTGGATGGTCGTAGCCTTCTGGGATTCCGTGCGACACTACCATAGCTTCTACAATAGTGAGGTATGTATCTATGCAAATGATTAACAGTACTCTCAACAGCGCCATTTATTTGTTTAGGAAAACACCTATCAAGCAATTATAATAACAGATGGAACTGTTTCATACACCATCTTCACCTATGACTGCAACCTCTTTGCATGGGGAGGGTTCACCGTCATTGGATTCAACGCCGGCGGGGAAGCGTTTGAGAATAACGAGTTCACCGACAATTCTATTGCCTGCTCCAGTCTCCCGGCCTCCAATATCACTAATGTGGTTTATCGTCTCAGTGCTACAAATCCAGAGTATCCACCTCCGCGTGAGTCTAGCATACACAGGGAAAAGCGAGCTCGCCTAGTTGTCTGAATGCTAGATTTTTTCTATACCATTTTATATTGTTACTCGTACTGCTAATGTTCTACGTGATTCTAAATATGTCGAAACACGCGTGAAAATTAGCTCGTTTCGTTTGCCAAAATGCCAATTTGTTCTAGTATACCTATTTATGTGCTTTTATTTTACATTTGCAGAGAATGTCCAATTGAGTGACATTGGTTTAAATGTTGTGACAGTCTCCTGGGTGGTACCCTACACTCCCGAATTTCAGCAGTACACAGTCGTATATGGACTAGAACCAGATGCACTGAATCAGAGCCACGGACCAATCTACAGTTCCCTAGACCTATCTGTCGTCAACCAAACCTTCAGCGTAACATTACAGGTCTGACTCAGGGAACAGACTACTACATCAGAGTCTCGTCCACGTTTGGTTACAACGTCATCTACAGCGACCTCGTGTCCTTCACTACTCTTGATCCGCGTAAGTCCCCAATATATATTAATCTTTGTAGTTCAGTGTTTTCTCCTACACAGCACCAACTGGTCCTCCATTGAATTTCATTATTGACATCAGGGGAACAACACTAGACCTATCATGGGAGCCACCAGCGCTAGAACAACGAAATGGAGTGATTCGATATTATACCCTCATCCTCACACACGAAGATGGGCAAACAATAACCTTCCCGCTGAACAATGTGACTCTCCTTTCCCTGGACGAATTTGTAATTAACACACAGTTCAATTTCACACTCTCTGCTTCAACATCCGGAGGGGCAGGTCCCACCACAACCGCAACAGCTACTACTGACTCGCGTAGGTTTAAATTCGAGAGCCAAGCCTTTTATTAAAAGCCTTTTATTCTCCATTGATGTAGCGAGTGACACGTTCCTGCCTCTGATACGTGCGGGAAGCTTGAGGTCAGTTCCAAGTGTTCAATTTGAGGAGGTGGACGATGGGACATCAGATGCAATTGAAACTCCTCCATTCCCCTTTGGAGACTCCACACAGGACACAGTTTATGTAAGAAGTGCCCAGAGCATTAGTAACAGTTAGTATAGTGAATATTTTTATTCTATTGTATATAGGTAGGATCAAATGGTATACTGTCATTCGGTAGCCCATACAATCCTGGTCAAATGGTCCATTCTCGGAGTTCAGTAACGATTTCGTTGTTGCACCTTTCTGGGATGACATCAACATCGTAGGAGGCAACGGACAGATCTTCTACGAAGTCCACACAAGTGGCTATTTCTTGGACCAAGTAAATGCATTCATTCAGCAGAAACGACCGGCCACCTCCTCTTTTGTCGGAACATGGATGCTTGTAGCATATTGGGATGCAGTGCATCCATTCTCATTCACTGGAGATCAAGGGGTTAGGCTATAAGATATTTGTTTTAGGTGATTATAATCCAACTGCATCCAGGAAAATACATTTGAGTCTATCCTGATAACTGATGGAACATACAGCTACACAGTCTTCACATACCAGTGTGGACTTATGAACTGGGATAATGGAGCAACCATTGGATTCAAGGGGTCCGGTGACTTCTATGCAACAAACGACCCGTCGACATCAGATGTTGCGTGTCTCAATTATCCCGCATCCAACTACAGCAATGTCATCTTTTTACTGAGCAGTATCAGTGCAGAAATACCCATGCCAGGTAGCTATCAGTTGACTTGCCTTGCCTTTCTACATGTCGCACCCAGCAAAATCACAACCACTTACACTTTTTACACAGATATGGTGACTACCAATCCACTGGCTGATTCTGTGAGTGTGACATGGAGGATACCCAGTTTCACAACAGAGGAAAAATACTACATCCGATACGGCACTGACAGATACAAACTCGACCAACAAAGTGCCTCCATTGCCAGTGATTCAGACACAACAATGACAAATCTAACGTACAATCTGGAGATAACCGGACTTGAGCCCGGCACGATTTACTACCTCCAAATCGTGGCTGTGTTCGAAAGGTTTTCAAAGAGGCAGAGTGAGATTGCCATGTTCAGGACAAAGGAAGACGGTAAAACTCTTAACTTTACTAAGTGTCATACTCACCTTATATTAAATCACAGAGCAAGCATACTACTTGGAATACCTGAATATCATTGATGGAGCTAGTACGGTAGACCCCTGTTCAGATGGTTGCAGCTCACCAGAGATTAACCTGCCTTACGACTTCCCCTTTGGAGGATATACCACAAAACAGCATACGTAAGACAAAATAACCTGGCATTTTTGGTTTTATTCACTCACAGCTTCTTTCACTTGAACGTATATGCTGCTTTTTGTAAAGATACGTGGTTGCCTCCTGTGCTTGTCCCTTGGTCCATAACGAAATATGTTTTTGAAAAAGCTGTCCTTTTAGCCTTCACAACCCTTTGAAAATGCCATAAGAGAAATGTTGCAAGTCACCTTAAATAGGGGGTAAATGAAACTATGGTTTTTTGTTGTGTTTTCAGGTTGGCACTAATGGTCTAATCACATTTGGAGAGCCCAATGATGCTAATGATGGTGGACCAGAACCGTTCCCAGTATCATACTGGACATATGCAGTTGCTCCATTTTGGCAACAGTTCAACACCACGGGGGAAGGGAGGGTCCTTTGGAGAATAGTAAACGACTCAGACTCGCTGGACATGGTAAACACACTGATCAAGGGCGAATATGGTGATACTGACTTCGATGGATTCTGGATGCTTGTCGCTTCATGGGAAAACGTTCCAGTAACAGGAGACTCTGTAAGTAAAATTGAATTTGGCCACTCTCTTTGTCTAACTATATTTCTCTGCTCCATAGAGTGTCAATACCTTCCAGACTGTGTTGATCTCAGCTGGTACCAAGTCATATGCCATATTCACCTACAAGTGCGGTGAAACTAACTGGTCAGGACCGTTCGAGATAGGATATTTCGCCCCACCAACAATGTTTTACAACCATCCACTCTCATTCGGGGAATTTGAATTCTCCGAATTATCTTGCACTCACGTTGAGTCCGTCTGGAACAACATCATCCTTGATTTGCAACCTGGAAACACCATACTACCATCCACACCACAACCACCTCTCTTTACAGGTTAATAAATATTCTCTCCCAAATTACTTCATTGATTTATAACACTAAATTAATTTACTGTTGCTCTAGACCAAATTACTTCACTGACACATTTCCTATTGGTTCACAGGCAGTTGTAGAGATGCTGGCTACGACGAATGCTGCACTGGTGGTGCATGTTTGGGAACGCCCGTGGGATCACCTCCATGCTACTGTGATTTCATTTGCGTGTTTTTTGGCGACTGCTGCTTCGATGCTTCCCACTCTTGCCACGGTACAGATATATGCCCGTGACAATTGTACAGTTGAGCACAACATGAAAAATGATATCATTTGCCCCCAGCTCCTACTTATGATCTGCTGGTTGGAAATGGAAATCATTTGTCAAAGATACACTTTGAAGGGACAGCATCAGAGACAGTGCAAACAGTTTCCAATGGGAATGTAGTAGGAGTCGATTTCCACGCAGGGTAAGTCAGCAACTAAATGTAGCGTATATGGATCACAAAGCCCTTTATGCCACAGACGATCTCTAATGTTCTGGTCGGATACAATGATGGACACCATTCATCAAGCAGACATAAGTGGGGAAAATGAAATAGTACTGGTTGACTCAAATATTAGAGCAGTAGGTAAGATGGGAGAGCTAATAACATTGCGGCTAAAAAATCATGCATAACTCTTGTTTCATCACTAGACGATATTGCTGTGGACTGGATTGCCAACAACTTGTACTGGGTCGACAGTGTGTGGGCTCGGATTGAAGCACTCAACCTTGACAGTCAGGAGAGGGCAGAGATTGTTCGCCTGGGAGCTAACACCCACCCAAGATCCATAGCAGTAGATCCTGTTGACAGGTATATAGATAGCCACCATATTTCCACTGAGTTTGCTGGCATGCCTGTAATGGCGCTACACTAAGCAATAATATGCAAGTAGGAGGCAGTAGGGAGATTGTTAATGGAAAAAATTACAAGACAGTTTTTTTCTTTTTTGTTTAGGGTCATGTTTTGGACAGATTTGGGTATGACAGCTAAGATAGAAAGCGCCTTTTTGGACGGTGAAGGCAGACGTACTATTATTGAGAATGACCTTTCCCAGCCCAATGGAATCACAATAGACTACACCACGCAGAAAATCTACTGGTCTGATTCCGACCTAGACAGAATCGAGTATTCCAACTACGACGGAACCGAAAGGACAGTGTTAGAGTCTGTGAATGAAGGCCTGGTACATCCGTATGGTCTCAGCATTGTCGATGAGCTCCTCTTCTGGACCGACTTGGGGTCAAACTATTTGTACTACACACACAAGGACCACGGAAATACGGAAGGATTGGGGACCTTGCAGGCTCTGGCTCATTTCACCTCCTCTCCATACGGTGTCGAGGCACTAGTTGACTTCCGACAAGCTGCTGGTAACTTATAAGAATACCTGAGTCCATATGTAGCCTTTGCAATTGCCTATACACTACTCGTAACAGGTGAAAATCCATGTGAAGGGAACGACTGTGACCACATTTGCCTACTGAGTGGCACCAGCTCTACTGGATACACGTGCGGATGTGCTGCGGGCGCTGACCTACAAAATGACGACAAGAGTTGCTGTAAGTTATATGATTTCAGAATCACACGATATCAGTTTTACTGTTTTTTTTGTTTTTTATTTTAATCCGCAGCGACTGAAACAGAGCCAGAAGAAGGTATGTGTACACAGTACCCATTTTAAAAGTGTGTTGCTCAGTTAAAGAATGGAGTATGTTACCGTTTCCGCAGGTTTCTGTGCTAGTGCCGGATATGACAGATGCTGCAGCCACGGATTCTGTGCTGGCTATCCAAGCACCTGCAGCTGTAACCCAGAGTGCCATGTTCTAGGAGACTGTTGTACAGATATCGATTCTGTGTGCCAACAAGGTCAGTGACTTTACCTCAACATCTATCATATTATCAGTGCAACAAACAGTGGTTTATACTACACCATCTATACCTCACTTCCACGTACAGTAATTCCAAACGAACCGATCGATGTGGGAGTGACGTATCTAACCCACATTGAGGCTCGGATTGAATGGACTGTGCCTTCAATTGTGTTTTCTGCGGAGACCTACACACTGATGTACAGCATAACCCAGGATGATCTCAATACCTTGATGGGAGAGACAATGTCTAGTGGCACTGATTTGTCACTGACCGACCAAGTATACTCCGTATTACTAAAAGACCTTTCACCTGGCACCAAATACTACTATCAAATAAAAATCGAAAACACGTTTGGAATAAGACTCACCCAGATATACAACTTTGACACACGTATGTTGATTAACCCAACTGTCTATAACTATTCACAAGTAGACTTACCTCTCTGATATCTTTTCCTTGTATAGTTCCTTCTGTTTCTGTCTCTCTGCTCCTTTTTTTCATCTGAATCACTTGGCGGTTTATAAGTTCGCTTTTTCTTCTCTGCAGCAATTGTGGGCCCGCCACAAAACTTCACAATTGAAGTCTTGGGAACAGAAACCCTATCGTTCAACTGGGAGCTACCTCTTGATATAGAGCTCAATGAAATAGACTACTTTGTCATTGACTGTGACCCGAGCTTCCAGCACGACATCACCGAAATTGTCTTGGACAGCTTCTCCGTCACTTTGGAAGAGTTTCTGCCGGGAACCACCTACACATGTACAGTTGCTGCAAAGACAAATGCATTAGGAGCTCCAGCAATGGCAACAGCAACAACAGAAGAAGGTATGTGACTAAAGTAGAGCCCCTCTAATCACCAATAGGACAAAACGAGAGTGCCCATATTAGTGAGGTGTCCCTATTTCAGGGATTACACACACAAACCTGGTGTCCGGGGATAAAAGGGTGTTCTTATTAGAGAGGTGTCCTCATTTCAGAAGTTTCCGTAGAGAAGAGTTCCGCTGTATAATAAAAAAAACTGACTCAAGTTTTCCATTTTAGCTCCTGATGTCCTACCGTTCTTGCTTCTTGGAACCACGGAGGGAGTTGAAACGATCACACTCCCGCCTTCCGATGATGAAAGCTCTGCTCCCATATACATCTCTGGAGGTCTACCACTAGGAGTCACCACACACACTGTAGCATACGTGAGTTGCAGTTCTGTAACACAACTCTAATGCTAGGAAATCCCTCCATCGTCCAGGTTGGAACAAACGGAATTGTATCCTTTGGTCAACCTTTCTATTTCAATAATCCGAGCATTTTCCCGACTGACAATTTCTTCATTCCATTCGACCAACGTAACTGCTCCCTTCTGGTCCGACATGGACACGCGCGTGGCGGGATCGGTCAGCTACGAAACGCACCAGAGGGGGTCCAATGCCGAATCAAACGTGAAGCTGGAGAGGGTCAGTGGATTCATTGCTGCTCGGGAGAACATCAGTTTCACAGCTTCGTGGATGCTGTTGGCACACTGGGACAGAGTCCATCCTTACCCTCATGGATTAATAGGCAGTAGTGGAACCTCTGGACCGTATCAAGACTTTCTGAACAGCGTAAGTTTGGCCGTAGCTAGAATGGCTAAGTCTGTTATGATACTCATTTTTTCCACAGGAGAACACATTTCAAGCTATAGTCATCACTGACGGGATGCTCAATTTCGTGTTGTACACCTATCAGTGTGGTTTGATGGGGTGGTCTGGGCAAGACCCTTATGCCAACATCGGCTACAACCTCAACGGGGAGTATGAGAATCACCCACTGAGTGGGACGTCAAGTGCGAACACCATTGCCTGTCTGTCTAGCGGTGACGACAGTAGCAGCGAACCTGTACGCCGCCGTCAGACTTCTTCCAGCTGGTACAATCAGCTCTACCAGCTCCCCTCCGCAGTAGATCCCATTCAGCAACTTCGAGCCGAGTGCCTCACAATGGAGCTCCTCGATATTCAGACAAATGGTGACATTCTGCCCTTGGCGAGATCTCTCGGAGCCTGTCCTCCAACCATCAACCAGGCTTTCCTCGATTTCCGTTTCACATTCAGAAGTGATATCTCCAGTGTTTCACTGTGCTTTGCCTATGTTTTTGGTGCCGGGAGTTCGGACATATCATCCCTCATCTGCTGTTACACTTCAGCGTAAGCACTGAATAATAATATGCCTGGGATTGGTGAGACATCATATTATTCCGTGTATGTGATGATGCAGGTCAAGTAGTGCTCCTGGTTCACTGGTGGTGGGCGGGAAACACGGAAGCTCAATTGCTCTCTACCATCCAAGACTTTTCTCCGAAGAGTACCAAATGTTTGACAAAGACTTCAGGGAGAAGTGCTGTGATTCAGGACTCTGTGAAGTATTCTATGCAAGAAGGGCAATCGACAGCACCATATCCTATGTGCCACTATTCTTTGGTTAGTATGAAAGCCACACTGCCACTTTAGTGCTTGCAAAAATGCCCTCTCTGTATTGCAGGTTGGGGATTCGGGGACCCACACATAAACACAATGGACAACACCAGCTACACGTTCAATGGACGAGGAGAATACACTCTCGTCGAGGTACTCAGCACTGGATTTGTTCTGCAGGGACGTACCGAGCCTATCTCCGAAACAACAAATGCCACTCAGTTTTCGGCATTTGCAATGGGCATAAAAGCAGAGGACCTATCCGCAGAGGTAAGTGGCCCCTTCCTATATAGACAGTAGAGAAATCGTTCACGCAGTTCAGTGAATGTTGAGACTGAATTTCTATTGTTATAGGTCCGCCTAACGCGAGGAAGATTGGTGTCGTTTATCAATGGGGAGGATATCAGCAGCACTATCGAAAACATTAATGATACGGCAACTGGGGAAAACAATGCTGTCTATCTCACTCGAGTCGGTGAAAAATCAATCAGAATGTTATTCTACAGGGATGGGTTGGCATACGTGTTCACTGTGACCCAAAGGGAAGATATCATGGACTTTGTCTTGAATTTGGACACCTCCCTGAAAGGGCAAACCAGAGGGCTCCTTGGGGACTTTAATGATGATGGAACAGACGACTTCATTAAGCCCAATGGGATTGCCGTGCCCTATGAAAATCTCACTGACCAGACACTACATGAATTTGGACAGTCATGTGAGATCCAATGCAAAACGGGGAGGGGGGCAACCACTTTGTAGGGAATTGTGTTGCATTGCATTATGAATAAGCCTTGCATAGCCACTTATTCCACATTGTGATCTACATAGCTGCTATGCTCAAGAAATGATCATTCCTCCTTTTGTTTTCCGTGGTTCCATTACTATTGCCGGGTATCATGCTTGCCAATTATGTTATATGATTCACAGGGCAAATCATAGAGACAGAGAGTCTCTTCAGATATCCAGCTGGAATGAGTTTCAGTGACTTTACCTTCCCGGATCATATCCCACCGTTCTTGAGTGACGTCGTGGCCAGTGCATCAGCTGATATTATCAGCAGCTGCACTGGAAACGAGCAGTGCATCTTTGATGCGGTTCAGACCGGTGATCCTAACATTGGAATGGGCACACTTGACACTGTAACCAACAACAACGAAGATGTCGTGGTAGCAAGTAAGTCTTCAGTAACACATGGAATCTATCGGTGAAGTTATACAATTTCTTCTGGTTTTCTAGACAACTTCCCACCAAGTCTGGTTGGACCAGCCACTTTCAGAGTCAATGTTGGGTCACCTTCCGTCTACACCTTCACTGCCACAGACAGTGATGGTGTAACTGTCTCAATACAGGGTCCAGGGGCCAATGATTACACACTCATTCCCAATGGGAATTCCTACACTCTCAGCCTCTCCGTGGACGCAACTTTTACCTATGACATAACGATTGAGGCATCAGATACGATGGGTGCCATATCTACTCTGAGTCCCCGCGTGGAGATCTGTGCCTGTCAGAACGGAGGAAACTGCACACTGAACGGACTCTTGGGGATTGATACAAACGTTGTCGACATGCTCTGCCAATGTGACCAAGGTATAGAACAACAACAAGGACAACTTACAGTAACATCGCTTATCTATAATATTGTGTAACTCACAACTCAGGTTGGGAAGGCAGGTACTGTGAATCTGACAAAAATGGCTGCTCGGAGGTGATTTGCTTCCAAGGAGTGGAATGCTACGACGTCCCTGCCCCGGGGTCTGGAGCAGTCTGCGGTATTTGTCCATCAGGATATGTGGGAGACGGAGAGAAATGCACTGGTATTTATATGCCATGCCGTTCTATTTCCCTTACATTTATCTCAATGACGAATGTCTCTTGATAACAGATGTGGACGAATGTAATGGAACCAGCATTTGTATGCAAGTGTGCATCAACACCCCCGGAAGCTTCGAATGTGGTTGCGAGCAGGGCTATGAGCTCTCTGGCACCACTGACTGCATCGGTATTACAGCTCATCTTTCACCTTTGTCAATGCGAGAACTTGATACTTGACGTTGCCTCATGTGCTCCACAGATGTTGACGAGTGCCTGTTGGAACTTGACAACTGCCTTCAGATATGCACAAACGCCCCAGGCTCATTCAGATGCTCATGCCAAGCCGGTTTCGAATTGGACGATGATGGGAGAACCTGCAACAGTAAACTTCTCTCCCAGTAGTAGTACTTGCACATCCACATACTTGTTTTTCTCTTCCAGTATTGCAGCCATGTGTCGCTAATCCACTTCCGTGTGATAATGGGCAGTGTGTAGTGGTGGACGTGCTCAGACATGTGCATGCAACAACGGCTATACACTGAAGAGTGGTGGTCAAACCTGCACAGGTATTATAAATACAAATTGTTCCACAGAATGTCGGTGCTTACTAATTTCTTCATAACCCGAATTTAGATGTCGATGAATGCCAGAACAACATCTGTGAAGACAGATGCAAAAACACAGTGGGTTCATTTGAATGTGACTGTGGCAACGGTTACACCCTCGGTCCAGACCAGAGAAAGTGTGAAGGTAAGATCAGGTCCAAATTGTATTGTGAGGAATAACACTGGCTCGGACCACCAATCCACAGATATCAATGAGTGTATCCAGATTGACAATCCCGTGTGTAGTGGGAAAAAGGTGTGCCAGAACAATGCAGGAAACTACGCGTGTGAGTGCCCTCCTGGAACTAAAGAAAGCAACGGGGATTGTGTAGGTAAGCTCGAATGACCACCGAACAGCATAAGTCATTTGAGAAGATAAGGACTGCAAAGTGGATATATTTTTCTTTCATCAGAGATGGAAATAACAGAGCCGCCTGTACAAGTCATCCCAACAGACAAACCACCACTGGATACCACTCTCGGCAGACAGAACAGCGTAAATGTGACACTTCGTTCAAGCAAAGAGGAGGTGTGTACATTATAAAAGCAAAGATTTATGCTTGTAATTGAACCCTTACATCGTTCTTTTAGTTTGACGTGCCAGCACAGTTCAAGTTTAAGCTGAGTGTTGCCAGTGAAGTGAACCAGTATTGCCTGAAAAATCCCCAGCAATGCGGGTAACAAACCCACAAACCAACAGTACTGGAAGTACATGTTTACACGATGTCATTTTCTTCTTGTAGAGGTGATATGATAGAAGTCGATTCCAGTGATGTCATAATTCTCGATGAGGTCTTGAACGATGCCAACGGAAAAGCCACATTCCTTATGTTTGTGTACACCAAGAACCCAACCGATGTACTGAGCGGTAAAATCCTGGAGGTATTGCACACACACACTTGCATTTCCTTTCTTGAGTGTTTCTTCTCTCGTCAGCTCATACTGACGTCTGTGACTGGAGTTGCAGATGTAGCCGCAGTTACCAGCGAGGGTGGTGAGAGTGTTTCCAGTAGTGGTCTGTCTGGTGGAGAAGTTGCTGCAATCGTTATCGTCATCCTTGTGGTGGTGATTGTGGTACTTATTGCGACGGTCATAATCCTGTGAGTTCTGAATGTTATGGGTGGTAGTGACATCAAACTATCAAGTTAACGTAGAAGTTTTTTTGAAGGTTATTAAGAGTTGCAAAAAATTTTTTTTCAGCGCCAAGGTGAAGATAATCCCTAAGCCACAGATGCAAATGATTTCCAATCTCTCAATGGACATTTTCCGCTCCCAAGACCGGAGGAGCAGTATGCTCATAGAAGAAGGAGATGGTGAGTCAATGAAGGACACAGTGTCTGTCAGTGGCGTAGAGATGGGGGCGGCTGAGGCCAAGGCAAAGGAGGCGGCAGAGGAAAATGAGAAGGAAGCTGAGAAAGAGGAAGTGAAGGTCGACCTCTCAAAGGCAGAGGAGGCTGAAGAAACTGTTTAATTACCTAAAAATATAGCTTGTAGTGTAGATATTTTGGACCGACTGACTGCTGACTTTGTTTTAGTTGTGGTACTATAGCTATTGCTTCCTTTACTGTATTATAATATGCAAATGATGTATTGATGCACGCAGTATAATAGGAACATCTGCGGCAAGCTGTTGTTACGCAACATCAACACACATTATATATCACTAGCCCACACACACAGAGCCCGCATGATACGTTCGTTAATCTAACACCAATACATGAGAATTTAAAATTTCATTTACAATTTACAAGCAAAGTGACAGACAGAAGTGAGGTAACAGAAACAGGAGTAGTTGGTAATGTGAGGTGCGCATGTGGAAATGAGAAAAACAGATACAAAAGAGAGAGAAATAGAGAGAAAGTGATGAGTACATAAAGTATGGTGTTAATTGAGAAAGCTAAAACAGTTAGTCACGTCAGGGAAATCAATCATTCAGCAGTAGCTAGATTCATTACTAATCCCTGCAGGCAGAAAATCAATTTCCAATGATCCATAATCACAACATGTTTTCCCTAGGCATCAACACACCTCTTATTCTCTCACACACAATATATACTTACATGAACACAGAATACTTACCTCTTTTGTGAGGTTGCTGCCATTTGAAAATGGGGTAGCATTGCTGCAGCAGCTATAAGGGCAAAAGAACTTGGTATAGAACTTTTATGGATAGGTATGTGAGAACTTACAGCCAAATGCACTCTGGTCGTATAGTCCAGCAGCCATCGCTGGGTGGGCTCCCGCCATGGCTGGATGCAGCATTGGGATCATATTCCCACTCGCTGCCGCAGCTTGCAAGAGCTGAAAGTTCTGCAGAGCGGCAGTGTTTGCCTGCTCGGCGGTCTGGTGCTGTTGTTGTTGTTGTTGTTGTTGTTGCTGCTGTTGCTGCTGTTGTTGTTGGTGCTGCTGCTGAAGAGCTAGGATGATACTAGGGTCTAGGGGGACCATTGGGATCCCCTGGGCCTGCTGGGCAAACATCTGCATCTGCATTTGCTGCCAGGGGTCGGCCGATCCGATCCCTCCCACTTGCCCCTTCTGGATCATCTCCTGCAGTCTCATCCACTCTTCCCAGTTGGGCTGCACTAGACCGGCAGCTCCGAGCGGTATGCCCTGCCGGAGCTGTAGACCAGGCATGGGGCTGGCGAGCGAAGTCTGCTGCTGCTGTTGAAGGAAACCCATTTGGTGCGCCACTGCAGCTTGTTGGAGTTGGGTGGAGGCCAAGTGGTCGGTGGCTGTCTTGTGTGTTCGGGAGCTTGAGGAAGGGTGCCCGGCTGACTGTTGGGTAGTAGAGGAAGAGGAGGAAGCAGAGGAAGCGGCAGAGTGCGGATGGTGGTTCACCGAGCGTCTACTGCTCTCTCCTCCATCGCTCTGGCCGGGGAATGATCGTTGGCTCGATGACGAGCCTTCAGTTCGGCGGTTTGTCGGGACACTGTTAGAACCTGGTTGTCTTCCGTGTTCGTGAGGCTTGTGGATTCCAGAACGCCGGTCACCTCCGCTATCTCCGACAGGGAAACTAGACTTCTTACTAGTAGTAGAAGATGGACTAGATTGGCCCATGTTGCGGTGGGATTTAGGATGCGATGGTGAATGCATTTCGCTTACTGGTTTCCCAGTTATGACAGAAGTAGTGGTAGTGGCTGCCGAACTCGAATGCTCTTGTCTAGAGGTTCGGTCCGCGTGCAGGACTCCAGGTTGCATGATTGCGTGGTGAGGGTGCACGAAGGGAGCCCAGCCTTGAGAACCGGTAGAGAACGCCACAATAGGGGTTGAGATTGGCTGGGTATGAAATGCCGTGTGCTGTGAGCCGGAAGCCACATCTTTGTGGTCTTTTGCTGGTTTTGCTCCCTCTTTGGAGTGCTGCTGCAGAGCATGCTGCACAGCCTGCTGTTGTAGCATCGAATACTGGTAGTTTCCGTGTGGCATCATACCTACTGGTATAACAGGCCAGTTAATCCCACTAGGAGGTGGTGGGTGAGGCTGCTGAGACTCTTCAGTCTTGATGACGAGCTTGTCTGACTTTGCTGCCACGTGCGGCTGAGGTTGAATTGGCTTCTGTGAGCCCTGCTTGGACGAGGTAGAAGCGGGCAGTGGTTGCGTCCGGTGACTCGAGTGGGGTTGGGGTTGTTTGCTGACCCCTCCACTGGGTGGCTTACTGTGTCGCGGGAGCTCAAACGGTTCGCTTTTGATGTTGACGGGATGGGACTGGCCGTAGTGGCGCTCTTCCCCATGCTCTCCGTGGATCCTCTGGTGGTGACCAGGCTTCTTTTGTTTCCCACTGCCGGGATCCTTCCCACTGGCAGGGGAAGATGGATGTGGCATTTGGAGGGGAGCCACGCCCGGGTTCAAGTGAGGATCTCCCCCGATCCTGGGCCTCTTCACCGGTCGATTGTGCTGCTGAGTCTGTTGCCTGAACTGAGCCATTTGCTGATTGTGTCTCTCAATCTCCTCCTTGTCCTTCCGATTCATCTCCTTCAGTTGGTCTTCATACTCCTTCATCTGCGCTTGCTTCTTCTGGTTGACAAAGGAGAGTAACTGGTACTGCATTGTCATCGGGAGGTTCGGATCATAGTTGAAGTCAGGCGGGAGGAGGTCTATCTTTTCATTCTCCCCGATAAAGGCATTGAAACTGGGGTGTTGGAAGGGGAAAGGAGAGTGCACGGGATGTTGACCCCTCAATGCAGCTTCCGGGTGGCTTCCTTCCTCGTGATCGCTGGAGACTTTTCCAGAATCTCCCGCGTTTGGACTGATGTTCTTCCTCTTTCTAGAGCCTTGACTCTGGTCTCGTTCCGGCCTCAGCATCTCCATTGGTATGGGCGACCTCCTCTTGAGCGGGTCGTGTTTCCCTTGAGGTGGAGCCTGAATTACGCCTTGCTGGAGTCGGTGGTAGCTTGGAGCAGGCATTCCCAGAGAGATTCCTGGGATCGAAGACGATGTCACCGACGAGGGGCTAGAAGATGATCCAGTAGAACGTCGCTCAGTCAGGGATGTCTCTTGGGCAGTAGAATCCTTGTCCCCCTTGTCTCCTTTGCGAGTTGGCCTAGGTGCAGGGGCTAGACCATCCTTGAAGTTTGCACCACTTCCAGTGGTCAGAAGAGCCCCCATTACTTCGCCGACAGTAGTGGTGTGGGGAGAGGCAACCCTGGCTGCTGGTGAACGTGCAGGGCTGCCCATTGACGAAGATGTATTGCTCGTGGGTAATGGTAACACAGGGCCATCTTTGGAGATAGAAGAAGGCATGTGTTGCTGCTGAGCTGGGTAGTCAATGCCGGGGGAAATCGGCTGTATCTTCAGGTTGAAGCTGTGGATCCCAATAGGTCCGAGAGCAGGAGTTTCCGGGGCCTTGATGCCTGCTTCTTCTTTCCCCTCGCCGAGCCCGGTGAGCGGTTCCGTTCTCTTCTTGTGTGGTTTTCCAGGCCTCTTCTTGCGGTGCGTGCTAAGAATTGACCCGGAGCCAGAGCTGTCGCTGTCATCAGCTGCAGTGTGCGGTTTGGAGACGGCATGGTCGGAGCCCGTCGGCATGTAGTCGAGAGTAGTGGTCTTGTTGACATCCTGATGGACCGCACTTGTGGTGTTGAATGATGGGAAGGAGGGAGGGTGGTCCCTCTTACGTGATGTTTGGACTGGGCTACTCGAACGACCACGATTTTCTCTTGTTTTGAGTGACAGTGGATGAGGAGAAGAGGAACGACTGTTGGGCAACTTTTGATCTTTGCCATTGGCGCTGCAAGCATTTAGCGATTCGATTGAAAAATTGGATGGTTTGGTTGCAGACTTTACCAAAGTTTCAGGGTTACCTTTGGAGTGCTCAGCGGTCTGGCCGTGTAGTATTGCACTGTTAACCAGAGAATCGCCTGGTACTGCTCCATGAGCACCCCCAGCAGCAAAGCTGTGGCGATGGTTTTGGTTTGGAGTGGAAACAGTGGTGCTTCCGGTGGTGGGTGTACTGGGATACGAACGCATGAGACTCGACCTCAAGAGTGGAGCAGATGAATCCGAGGAAGAGTCTTTATCGCCGCCTGTTTTGGGCTTCATCTTCCCGTCGTACTTCTCCTGGGAGGAAGTAGGGGAGGGAGCGTTGATGGCAGAAAAAGGTGGGAGAGTGTGCTGTATTTCTTCGGCTGGGATCGGCTTCTTCGGTCGTGAGCTTTTTGGAACCTGCAAGTGCGGTGGGTTGGAGGCAACAAAAGGGGCAACCTGACTCTGAGAAGCGTCATTGTGTCCAGAACTATGTCCAGAGCCTTCCTTCTTCCCCCGCTCCTCCGAGTCACTCACATCGCTTATGTCCGAGTACACAGAGTCCACCGATACCTTTGCTGCACCACCCCTCAACTTTTGGTGTGGAGATGAGGCACCAGGTGACTGATTCTGGGACTGGGGATTTGAAGATGTGGGCTCTTCAACAATCTCCATGTCACCTGGTTCCGATTCTATCGACTGGTTCCTCGGAAGCTTTGGCCGACTTGTGGGGACTTTGTCTGTTTCCATCTGCTCCTCCTGATCCTTTTCTCTCGCCCCGGATTTGACATCGTTCTTGTCTCCTTTGCCGGCTGCTGCGAGTGCGGTGGTAGAGACGGGGCTGGTGTCTTCTTCTTTCGTTGAACTGTCCATCTTCTCACTCCCGCCTGTTGTGTCTTTCGTAGAGTCGTCTCCTTCAACGTCGACGTTCACTTGCTGGTTCTCTCGATTCCCGTTTCTCCTGCTGCTTGCACAGGTCCTTGAGGTGGGCCAGCGGTTCATCAAACCCACCCGCCAATCTGAGAGAAGGAAGACAGAGAGGAAGAGAGGGAAGTAGAGTAACCACACCACTACTATGGCTAGATTAGCAACAGAGTGCTTACTGAGGACAAGTGAAACCCAAGTGTATTCATCAGGTAAAACTTGACCTGCCCAAACAGCAAGATTTCTCAATGGTTTCCCTTGGCACAAGCAACAACATGACAATACACGGGAGGGTTACTAATTTTTACATAATCGCTGCATTTGCAACTACTGGGTGTCTTTGTTTGCAAACAAGGTCAGCACTATAGAGTCAAGAGTATGGCTGAGTCTAGCAGAGTACTCTAAATGGCTGCTTTAGGCCTTGTATGGAGCCCAGGAAACAACTGACAGGAACTCCAAGGGGACTGGTGAGGTCTGACATAGCCATCTGCCCTGTGGGGCAAGCAACAAGCCATGACTCAATTAGCAAGGGCCCAGTGGTTTGGCACAAAGGGAGTATGAATTATGCTTCCTATGTTTCTCAAGAGCTTTGGGAATTCCACCAGCCAGGACCATATGATGTATACTACTGGTCTGCCCATAGACACACACTACCTATAGAGCTGTGTGGTGGAAAGCAGTGGGAGACTAAGTATGTCTGCAGCACATCCATGCCAGCTTAACAACGCAAAAGCAAGTCAGATTTGTTGCTGCAAATAGAAGACACAGGAGCCAATCAATCTGTGTCTGCCACCTCTCCCCGACAAACAGGAAGACAATAATAGAGTGAGTGGGAGATCCCAAAAGGCTGGAATAGCTCATGCTCATCAACACCTAAGTTACTCCAGAGGCCAGTGTACACGACAGGAGATGATAAGCGGAAGTTTAGCCGAAAAATGACTTGACATCCTGACTGATTACAAGGCAGGAAGGTGGATAACTAAGAGATTGTACACTCTAGCTCTGCTCCACAACCCTAGTCTAGACAACTGCATATCCTCAAGCCTTGGCTGAGTGAGTAAAGGAGAAGCAACCTGTATTAGGCAGACGTAACCATACATACTACTAGGTCCCAGGCCCCTATGCCTTTCTTATACATTAACATTGTCCTACCCCTGCTACCTAGTTAGTTACCTAATACTACGAAGCTACTAGGTTGCGTGTGAAACAAATCGTGTTTTGTCCATGTTTTGCTCACTACACACAAAAGCCTTTGGGAATACACACGTGTATGTAGCTGCTGCAAAAAAGGACGCATTGCTATACAGGTTGAAAAGGTAAAACACACGGGAAATAACCCCCGTTGTGGTGTTTGTGTGAGTGAGTGAGTGTGTGTGGGGGTAAGTGAATGTGGAGTTGTCGATCAAAAACCACTTGGATTTGTATAACACTTGCTTTCTCTTTCCGAATGGACGAATTTCAACTTGAAACACTCACCATTGCCATTGTGCAAACTCAAATACGCTAGTGGGAATTCCTTCCGGATGCTTGCTACTTCATCATGTATGGAGAAGTTTACTAATCTTCCCTTAGGGTTTTTAGTGTGTGCAAGTGTCCTGGGTGTGTTGACAATCAAAAGTAAGTTTATCTTTTCCAACACTTTCAAAAATAACATAAGTTTACGCTAAAGGTGTTTTGCTTCGTATGCGCATACCTTGGGGGCGCCCATTCGTGCTGGCTCATGTCTATCAGCGAGCCGGAAAAGGTCTTGTTTCTCCACTGAACGCTCACTATCAGCACACCTGTATCCACACAAAAAGGAAGGGATAGGTTTAAGTATAATTATACACAGTCCATACAGTGTGTCCGATACACATAATGAATGTACCACTGCGAAGGTGGACCCACTATTATTATCTTCTAACTGTATTGCCTCACACACAGAGGTAATGAGATAATGTTGGCATGCTGGTAAAGGCAGTACAAATTCAATCTTGAACCTTGTAACAGCTAGACATACAGGCACATCACACATCTGATATCACACACACACCACATGTAGTGTTTATTGCCATAGTCGAGGTTCTTCCCTGTGATGTCACTGTGCCTATGTAGTACCTGAACCCCTAATATATGTACATACCAGTAGAGTGTTACATGACAAACCTAGTGAGTCACATATTAGTTGTTGTAAGTATCTTGGCATGGTGTGCATTGCAATTACCAAAGAGTGAAGCCCACAACTTTCTCTAGTACTATGCCAATCACTGGTATCCTTTCCGAGTCACTACCCTTCTGAGCCACGCACTCACAACATAATTATTCACGAAAGTGTATACATGCTCACCCCATATTACGTCCCTAGCAATGTATATCAATGTGTGCATGACCATAATAATAATAATATATACTGAGCCTTTTTGGTATAAGGTTAGGTGGTAAGGAAATACACATACATATACACCCAGCTCAGAGAAGGAACTGCAGCTTGGCTTCTGTTGTGATGACTGCAGTGAGTATATGGGTCATCCAATGAATGTATACCAGAATCCTAGGTGTGCATGTATGTAGTATACTAATGAGAGACACTACAATACATTCAGAGGGCACCGAAAGGGTCAAATATACACACACCCCACCCACCCACGTATGCATACTTGGCTATGCACCAGCAGCCCACAGGTTGTTTGAAGTCTAATGTTACTGTCTCATAATTTGGGGGGTAGGATCAAAATGCATTGAGGTCTAAAACACTTAGCCTGCTGTATGCCCAACGTGCTCATATAGACAGTATGTATAATATGTATACACCCTCTAGTCTTGCAATATACTGGACACTGTGGCTATAGACTAGTGACAGTGGGCAATACGCATGGCGAGAGTGACACGACACGTGTGTGTGGGGGTCTACCAGAGTAACCGGGTACACTAGTGATTAGTGCGCACACATGGGCCCGCACACATGGGCCGTGGGCAGACAGACAGTCTGCCCAATCGCTGGCACCAAAGCCCAATGTATTGTGTTACACTGGGAAGGTATTGAGAGCCTTTCACAGGGGAGTGTAACTGAATCATTACCATGTGTACACAGTGATAATTACAGCTGTCATTGCCTTACACAAACAATGCATATTTCTCATATGTACAGATGCGTATGTTTCGATAGGGACTACATCACAAAACAAGGCAACCACTAGATGAATCTCATATCGTGCTAGCAGTGGGCCACACGTACATCCAATCACAAGACTTTGAACTAACCGGCCAAGTTATTACATCAGTCTAAAGGCACAGCCCCTCACTTGTACGCATACACACAAACGCCTATACTGGTGCATGTTATAGGGGAGAGAAATGCATGTTGGCAATGCTGTGCACTCTAGAGCTACAATGTACAGTGAAATATAGCTGTTTGTAGACCACACAACTGTATTGTCATTCCAAACAAATTAGATCATGCATGCACATATTTGAATTGCTTGGCGAAGACCACGGGCCGGACACGAAATGATTTGCCATGTTTCACTTAGTCGCCGTGGAAACGGCCCAGGAATTTTAATTGCCAAACAAGTGTCGAGCTGCGTTTGAGTTGCCATGTACTCACCGCAAAAGAATGCGGTCGTTAATTGTGGCGCAGTAAGCCACCCAGCAAGACCAATAAGGTGTAAAATTCCATCCCGGATAACATTCTCAGCAACTCCCACATAGGTACATATGTAAGCAGACTGGACGCTTGAAACGACAGCCGAGCAGCGTGCTCATTAGCTGTGTCCTCCCTGGGGAGTAATTTCGTTATGTTGAGGCTGGGCCAACTTCTGACACAGTCCTCCGTTCCCAAATGCTGCCACAGCTTATTTCGACGCACAGTGTACAGAAGGATGTGTGGGGGTGTGCACTGCACACAACGTGAATGAGGGTACAAAGTAATGCACCTTGTCTCCCATAAAAGTCCACTTGGTGGCGCACGAAAGTGCTGAGTGCAGTTTGTGCAAGGCTACATAGGTAGTTAGGCCTCTGGCATGCCCCTTGGAGGCCCACACACAGAAAGTCAAGTTGCTGTTATCGGTTATTGGCCGCTGGCAGGCTGGATGTATGCGGACAAGCTAGTCTACATCACACCCATTACTACTACACGTACATGTGTAGGAGCATGAAAACATGTGTAAACAGACACGGTGGTTTATATGTAGTTGCAATTTATGACTGTCTAGTCTGTTGGTAGTACAGCATATTTGGCCAGTGACGTGGGAACAACAAAAGTAGGGCTTGTTTTGGACCACTTCAAAGGTGCCCATCAACGCCAGCACTCTTACAGACACACTCACACACACACACACACACACACACACCCCTAATTGGCTAGAAAGGGGGTTGTACGTATCACTGCCAAATCTGACAGCCCAAGATTCGTGGCAGCAGAGAGTTATGGCACTACTCTCTCATAAGTCACGGGACAAACAATGAAACTTCATTTTGTAATAGGATTCACTTGGGAGAGGTTGGCGTATACTTCCCAAGAAATATAGGGGGGAAGTATTAGTGGCTGGGGAGGGAGAAAGCTGGCTGTGACAACATGCAGAGCTTACAAAATAGGAAGCAGGAAGGTAGGAGGAAGCTGGGAGGTTCTGTACTATCACAGAATGGTCATGGACGACATGTCTATACATGCCCACAGGCTGCGGGCAAAGCATTGTAAGGGGTGGAACGGCAGGTACATTGTAGAGTTGAGTATCAGCGTTTCCTGTGAAGTCGGACCACATGACACTGGAGTACACAGTATCGTGTTACACTCCCCAGAGCTAGCTGAGTGAGCAGTTACACGAGCTCATTAGCCTGGAATGTTATTAGTTGTATATACCAGCCACCACAAAGAGTGATGCACTCCTACAAGTGCGTCGCTAGGTTACCCACAAAGGAATGCATTCCTGAGAATGGAATGTGCGGGAGTTGCTTGACTGTTGCCAAGGGCACGGGCAATGGCATGCGGTTGCTCCATAAAAGGAAGCTGGGATTACCTAAGAGGCAAGGTAGGCGGGTTGCCATGGAATTGAACAGGAATTCAATTGGGTATTCCAACAATAGCTCTACAGTTGGTGTGCCCACATATGCAATTACACATCAAACAAACCTACAAACAGACCCTTACACAACAAACATGTACATGTAACATGCAAGACTGGGCGTATATATATATACAGGCTGGGGCATACAATAAGATAGCTGGTGTGTATAAACACAAAGAAAGATATGTACATAGGTCCCCACCCCCATTCATCCATGGAGGATCTCCTTACATTTTACACTCCCTAGCCCACCACACCCTCTTCCCAAATAATGCCCCTGCCCCTGAGAACACTAGACATGTACAATGTAGCCCTAACCTCCCACACACTCCCAACAATCCTACATGGTAGTGCACATTGTGTGTGTATGTGAGTACACATTTACACCTCTACCACCACTAATGTACAGTATTCAGAACCCATACTCATAATGCCAACCAATTACTGTAGTGCATCAAGCACGAAGCAAGCAACCGTAGCCACTATACCTCTGGGTGGCAGCAGCTATCGAGAGAGAAAACTGCACAACTGAATGACAGAAGTGCAGACTCCCACACTACCAGTCATTTCTGCATCGCTCTACACGTACACACATTCTGTACCTGTATCAAGACGCTGCCAGTACCCCACACTTTTAATCCCACAAAAGATACACACACGGGTGTTGTTGTGTTGTTTGCTTCGCTTTGCCGTGTGGAGTTGTTGTTGACACATGTACATCTATACTAAGCTTGTTGGCTGGACATGATGGAGCATTATGTACATCCCAAGATGATGCACCAATACACTGAGTAAGACCGGTCATTCTTCCACTGAAGAAACACTGCATACCAAAAGGCACTTTAATAAACACGCATTTTAAAAGCTCAGAGTAGGTATTTGGCTGGCCATGATATGGAAGAGTATATCCCTCTTGCCACCTGTTACTTGGGAGGTGTTTCCCTCCCCCATGAACCACACACCCACAACTACACAGTGAGCTCCAAGACAATCAACTTCAAATGAGAAGTTAAAAGTGGGCAATTATTACGTTGGGACCTGGCATTGCGGGCTTTGTTGGCAATTTCCACAAAAGCACACGCTTTTGGCTGGAGAGTCAGGGTAGCATGTGCAAGTCTGTCTTCGGTTGCCAATGCAAGAATGTTCATAGCAGTAGAAAAACAGTTAGAAAACAGCGTAAAGAACAAGTCTCAGCCAAGGTCACGAGGTGACTTTTTTTTGCTGATAGGAGACCAGAAATTATTGTTAGGAAATTTTGGTCAGGGCACACATGTTGACCAGCAGTATACACAACCACAACCCACCCCTCCACAACACACACACTAACAGATGCTCCACCAATGCATGGAAGTGAGGCACCCAACTGCCAAGGTGTGTGCACAATAAGTGCAGGAAAAACAACAAAAAGTGTTGGGAACAGAAAGAGAGCCATAAAATACAAATTACTCGTAGGGTAATAATGTGTACTTGAGACTAGACGCACCCTCTGATTCTTGGCACACTGTCCCGCGGAGATAAACGGGTGCACCTGTTCGAAGATAGGCTCCAGACTCAACTGCAACTGGGGTGGTGGCTACACTGCCTGGATGACTGCCGGGCAGCGGAAATGGACTGCATCGTAGCACGGAGAGAGAGAGAGAGAGAGAGAGGGAGGGAGGGAGGTAGGGATGGAGGGAGAGAGAGAGATTAAATGCAGTTCAAAGTGTCAGAGTAGCGTTACTCATCTCACTACATGCTGAGGGTGTGTGTGTACTTGGCTAGGTGCAACCTTGCGTGAGAAAACAGTGGAATACTCTAGTTTCTTATGCACCAGTGCATATATTACACGCCCGTGCACATGTGCTGCGTCCAACAATGCATGTATTATAGTAAGCAAAGAGTAGCCTCTAGTATAATAGAACAAATGCAACACATATTGGGGGAGTCGACGGGAGTGCAAAATGAGCAGTTTTAAGAGTATTACGTAACATATCACAGTATGGTGACGGCAAAGTATTACTGGCGAGCGAATTGAGCCCACCAACGCAGGAATTTTCTGATAACTATAGGTCCGGCGCTGTCACTACCGTAATGTTCTACGTGATTCTAAAATACACGCAAAATATTGAACTGCTTGCGCTCAGCTCGCCAAACAATGCGTTGCATTCCTCTAGTAGAAAAGAAATTTACACCTAGCCAGACTGGAAAGTGCCACTGAAGCAGACTCTACAGTTTCAGCCACCACTCTATAGTACAGGCAGGCACACACACATTCCCTGCCCAAGCCTACCCCCCCTCCTCCCCACAGGACATGTCCCTACAGGAGAATAATGGAATTACCCTTAATCACAGTGTGTGGTGGGCAAACCCAAGAAACAAGGGGGGCAGATAAATCTTTACAGGAATGAGCAACATGAGCTGCCCACTTGTCTTGCTCTGCTTGTCTTGTTCCCAAATAATTGCAGGCTACTATGTTACATGCACCATATAAACTGAGTGCTTCAGTAGTTACCATTTCTACCTATACATACATGTTATACAGGCTACCACGTACAATATCAGGTCATTCAGTAGCCAAATCTACAGGTACATACAATACCTGTAGACGGCAGCAGCCTGAGCCTGATAGACCCAGTTCTCAAAGGGGAGGTTGAAGCTGGGGCCTTGGAGGGAGGGAGAGGGCTGGACTGGGTTGAGAGAAACACCGGTCGGAGGTTGAACAGCACTGCTCGAGGAAGACGAAGTGGCCATGGAGGTGGACGGGGCCTGGAAAGGAGAGGAATGCGGGATTGTTAGTAGTACTAGAACAAATGCAATGCAAAATTGGCTTGCGAGCACAGTGCGAAATTTCACAATGTACGATTTAGAATTACGTGTAACATTACGATGTGGTGACAGCACCATTGTTTGGTATGATACCGATGCCTTCACATCAACTGAGCAAGTTGACGTTCATTTTGTATATGCCCAGTGTGTACGTATACTAGTAGGCATCTGTTAGTGTGTTTGTTGTGTGTGTGGTGTGTGTGTGTGTGTGCACAGCTATGCATATTCCCCTTACCCACACGTGGTGCCTTCAACGTAACAACAACCTACGCACACAAACACAAACACACGCACACACACGCACACACATGTAGTGGCAAACACGCAGCACCAGGGGTTATCCTTCAAAGTCACGGGCCATGGCTCCACTCGTGTACATTTCTTGAAGAGTGTTATTCTACGCTGGGTTATTGGGCCCTGGACTCTGTTTGCTGCAGTTTCATATTAGCTTGCGCACAATAAGGAAACTGAAGTTTACACGCACTCAAACACTCAATCTGGTTGTCTTTACTGGCAACTAAACACCGTAACAGGATGCATAGCTAGCTAGTGACGGGCTATGCTAACATGTACACCATCATTAACATACATATGCACATGGCATATGTACACTGTGTGTATGTTAGGAAGCAGATTTATGTAGTAGTCACCCCCCTGAAGTTTCAGGATCAAACTAGGAGAAACAGAGGCAGCAATACCAGTCTGAGATACACAGAAGTGCCCCAATGAAGCCCACACAAAACCACCACAGTATATACTAAATTCTATTTGTGAGGCTGTGTGAAGCTGAAGCACCTTTCATAGGTCACTCAGTGGACTCTCCAGTCCACTGCTTCAAACAGCTATTACAATCCAGAGGGCTCTTTGTTCCATTGCAAACCTGGCATCGCCCACCCAAACTCGAAGCAAGCACTTGCCAGAGGCAATCAAAATACAGTTTGAGAAACGACCTGTTCCAGTGGAATTCGAACCATTCCACGAACTTCTGTTCCCCTGCTGGACAGGTGTCTCTGATGGTAAATCAATTACTAAAGAAATCACTCGCAGACACACACACCGCCAGGCAAAACTCTCCCCCTAATGCAACAAACTGTGTTCCCTTGATGCATTACTGTACGGATGTGTGTCTAACAAGCCCTGAGCATTAAAAGCTGTGTTCATTTGCTCGTGAAAGCTAATCAACGCCAAAACGGTGCAGGCTGATTTGGCTAGGGACTGGCAGAGGTGAATAAGCATATAGGGTTACCCTACATGCATGTGTAGGCACTGTTGCACCAACAGAGGGCGAGCCTTCTGTAGGCTATCTGAATGCACAAGCTATTCACGCCAGTACTATACACACACACACACACAACTGCCCAAAGCAACCAAGGAATGCAATACGTAAACGGCACAGACTTGCATTCCTGTATCCAAGGCAACCCACTTGGATACCAGTATAATACACACACAGGTTGATATGTGCAGTGCTCACTGGCCTATGCAAAACTGAGACGTGCATCAGTAGAGGGCACACACACACTACCTAGGAGACACCAACAGCTGCAAGCATTTAAGAGCAGCCAACCACATAATAACATGTGTACATGTTTACGTACACATGTCCGTTACACACGTTTTTTTGACTTAGTTTGCAGACGGACAATCCAGACACTCGTCTGACACTGTAGGCCGAGGGATACAGGTTAGCTTGTCCGCAAACAACAGGGATTGGAGCACCGGCTAGCTGCTAAGACATACGTCATGCAGCTATTAAATGTACACCATGTTAACTTGCCAGCAGCAGGATGCAAGAGCCACAACTCACAACTGCAATACTGCAGCCCTTCTAATCTGGACACCAATGGGACAGCTGTATCATTGCAGGGATTCAGTTGCATGCAAGAAATGCTGTTGGGGAACAATCCCAATATACTAAGTACTACCGTACTTAGTGATAGAGAGAGGTGTTCTTATTTCAGGTGCGTCATGAGAGGGGTTCCGCTGTAACATGCAAGACCCTCTCCCAGTAGATTGGAACACGTGAACCTGTATTGTAACGGAGAACTCAGGGATTTCAGTGAATTTGTGGAATGGTGAGATGTGCAGACACACTATATAGGACAGTTGGCAGCTCTTCAGACCTCTCCTTTTCATAGGATAGCGCAGCAGCAGCGCAATTAGTACATCCACCACACACTGTCCTCCTGATAATAATTTCTCACATGATACAGAGTGAATTGCGAGCAGTGTTGTTTGAATGGCATTAATTTCTTCTTCGGGCCCCTGTACTATGTGGATATCTCCAATGTAAACCTACTTTAGGGGAGAGCAGGGAGAATCAGATCCAGTTGGCAAAGCTCCCACAAGTCCTGTAGGCCGCAAAGCTGTAGTCATTTAGGGGGTAGACAAGCCCTGTGCATTTACAACCTTGCAATCTTTCCCACAGCAGGGCCAGTTGGCCAGAGACAGATGGCTAAACCACAAAGTCTGTCATTCAGAGCACCAACTACATTCATATTCCCAGTGCTATCTTAGGTCCTCTGATTCTGCAGCACAAGGACATACCCAGATATAGACAACACAAGCAGACCCGACAGAGGTCTAGATAGTGGACCAGTTAGTGCAGCTATTCATGGGGCATGTAAGGGGGTGGGAGGGATAAGCATGGGGCAATTGAGCAATGAATTCCTAAGACACAATACCCCAGGCACAGGACAAAGCAATGTTTGTCAAGAGGGCATGTAGCTACTCCGCAGTGTATGCTAATTATGAACATTCCATTGTAAACCCCACACAACCCATGAATGAGTTAGGCTCCAATTGACAAGCACAAACAAGTGGTTCCTCTCTGTAGGGAAGGGCATAGTAGCAGCCACATAACAGTGCCCAGTAAGGACATGATGCCCCCAAAAAGAGAGGAACTGTGTGTCATAGTGCTGTATACATATATAGCACCTGTCTGGGAGGACAAACGGAAGATTAACCCCAGAAGGGTTCTGTTGATTGATACTTCCTGTAGAGTGCACATCTGATTACAGGGTTTTACCCTCACATTCCTTGCCGAATGAAGCTTACTCTAGTGGGGAGAGTTGGTTAAAGGATATCATGCTACTTTCCTTCCGCCTGAGCTTTGTAGCCTCCCTTGGTATACTAAACAACTATAACAAATCTCAAACCTGGCATAATGCAATCTAACATGTGTCATCCCTATAAATGCTAAGTACTAGCGTACTTAGTGATATGCAAGATAATGTATGCCAGCACCACAGACACAATGCTGACAAGAGCTCGGCACAAATCACGGAGTGGGTCCAATTGAATTCCAGTCTAAGGGTCGTGCTCCTCCAGGCACACACACCACAACAGAAGTCATTTGTTGGAGCACAGCAACTATGCCCGTAATCCATTGACCCGACAATGCATCAACACTTGCACACACCGAAGCAATTGAGGTCCAACACGTGAAACTTCAATACATACATTCATTCCGCAAACGGCGCCGCTATGCACTGGTACACACGTACACGGATCGTGTCAAAATGGTTCTAATCCTAACACTACCAATAGAGCACCATTGTAACGGTCACATTGAAGTGCATACGGGTGTGATAAGGACGGGCTATTTAGCGAGAAGTTAAACACGACAATATACACACAGTCCATTGAGCTCGAGACACAGTCATAAAGAATCAGAGCAGAGGTTTTTGATGCTATCAGAAAGCGTCCGACATTTACACAACACACTGTAACGTATGTCCACTCACGCTAAAACATCGTGTCGGAATGCTCGAGTATTGTGCCCGCTACACTTGTACCTGTAGCTACTACACGTGTAGCTATAACATTACACGCATGTTAGAGGACATAAGTACACGTGTAGGCATAATTCTCCCGGAGTTTACAATCGCGGTAGGAATCCTAAGCTTCGTGTATCTGCTGTCAAAGCAGTCTACGCATGCAACCCCAAACACATGTACTGTAGCCCAAACACTACCGCTGTCCTGGTAGTACACTATAATAGCTAGGGACACTTCCTACACAGGTGTACACACAGTAAATTGTACTGATACATTGTAAACACCGGGACTCTAAGTGATTCCAGCAGACCAACGACAGGTTATACAGATGTGTGTTGAAACATGATGTATACACACGCAATAATGACCAGACAGAACCAGAACTGGGCAGGGCCCAAAAAACATCTGTCTGTTAGCAGGGAGTGCCTCAAATTAGGAGGCAGGGAATTTCATGAAAAAACAAGGTATTGTGTCTTCTTCTCCTGGGTTAGGCATACAAACTACCAGAGTGGCAGTTTCATGATGCCTAGTGTATGAGGAAACTCGTGGGTTGTAAATCAGCAGGAAGTTGAAATAGCTTTAGAAAATGACCACCCCCCCACCCACAACTGTTTGACTGATAGCACCCTTTGTAGATAGCTTTCAAACCACATTCCCCACTTGCCACAACTGGCAAAAGAATCCCACCCACCCAACAATGCTTTCACAGATATGTAGCTCTAGCTCTCAATGGTAAAGGAGTTTCTGTTGTCATACACACAAACATTACCTCAGTGATGGTGCCTGTGTTGGGTAGGGAGAGGGGGATGGGTGTTCCGGGAGACCGCACCCCATCGGAAACTGGTTTCGGAGAGTCCATGGTGGGCGTGCCCGGCGGAGAATGAGACGGAGTCTTGTCGAATACGGTGCTCGTTGGCGCCATTGACTCGGCGGCAGCGCCGTACCCAACTGCCATGTTCACCAGACTGTTTCCACCACTGAGAGGCTCCTTGGGGAGCGTGGACTCTACGAATATGGTGCTGGTGGTATGTCCCGGGTTCGGGGCGGGACTAGTGGCACTGTTTGTCGATTCGGAGCTGTCTTTTCGGCTCATCAGCCGATCGCTCTGTCTCCCGCTCGGTATCTCTCCCTCTCGTCCTCTCCTCCTCGCTCCCCTCTCCTCCCCACCGCTGTTGCCTTCGTCCGCACTGTCCGTGGCCTCATCGTCAGAACTAGCAGTAGTAGCAGACGAAGCAGGTGGGAGTGGTTTCACTCCCTGAGTCTTTCGGAAGACGTTGTGTTTCGGATGTTCGTCCTCCCCATCACTGCTCCCGCTGCTAAACCCTCGCCCGGTCCCCGCGAGACCACGCCTACCGATGCTTCCACCTTCAGTTATCGGGTGGGTGGAGTTTTGCAATGATGACGAACCCTGACCTCCGCTACTGCCTCCACCGTTGCTAGATTCAGAGCCGCTTTTCCGCTTGCTCGAGGACTTTGTGGAGGAACTGTTCATTTCCGGAGTGGTGGAGTGATTCTTGAGCCCCGAGATAAAGTTGCTCAATTTTCCATCTGAACCCGACGTAGACGAAAGAGAGCAGTCGTTTTGTGTGAAAGAAGGTAGCTCTGAAACGTCCATTCTGGCCACACCTCCACTAGAACTGTTGCTACTGGTACCACTGGACCCTAACAGGGAATTTGGCAGCGACCCTTTCAGGGAGGACCCGGCACTTGACTTGTCCTTCTGCTTTTTCTTTGAAGGCGGAGCGACTTTCCCGGGGCTATCTTCGACTAATGTCGTCGCCATGCCTTGCTTCATGAACTCCTAACGCGGTAGAAAGAAGCAAAGGCACCGACCGACTTCTGCAGGTACTGATATCAGTAGTAGTTGCAGCAGAAATATGACATAGGAGTGTCCAAAGGTTGAAAAGGATATTCAAACCCGTCTTGCGTTGCACAGCATATACCCCTGGGAGTTCAGGGAGAGAGAGAGAGGCATAGCAGTCATGTATAGGAACGATAAGCACGACGGACATATGAATTCACTTAGTGTAAGATATCACTTGCCTCACACACACACACTGTATGTGTGTTAGTATATACATACATAATATTATGCACATTCATGGAACTCAACACCGGTGCATAAAGGGAGCGTATTTATATGCCAAACGTATATACACACACGCACGCCTCCGCCCATATGACAAGGAGTGTCATTTTGGCAGGTATTCATCCTGTGTGGTGTGGCGGTAATTCCATCTCGGAATCCAATATCGCACCACACAGCTGCTGTCATTGTACACGCTCTGCCTCCAGACGCCAATTACGCAGCAGTTTCTACGGCATCTGAACCGTCTCAACATCTACTCAAATTGCAGACAGGACTGGGAGCCAACATTACATCAGCACTTTGCTCTCGCGTGTATACATATGTATATATAAAGTACACACTAAAAACGAAATAAAGCGGGCAATTCGCTCCCAAGCATAGCGTATCCACAGGACGCGTTTAGTGAGAATTTAAGGTTTCCATTGTAAGCAGAGCAACTGAAAAACAGGTGGCGTGTAGACACAGGCATACAACTGTCCCTTCCCTTGGTTAGGAGTGGGGTATGTGATATGATACGCTAACCGAGATAATTTCCCTATGTACACACCTACACATGTTGACTCAGGGATCCACCCACTTGCCAGGCTATAGTGTATACACAGGCCGAGAGACGGAGCATGTGTTGGGTGAAGCCTCACTCTGGGAAGTGTGGCTACTACGGCAAACCTACAAAAGCCTGGGAATCCTACTGTAGGACAACGGGATTTGCTACACTCACAGCCTCAAAACCTAAGACTGGTATATATATATATATAAGGTACTAAGCCAAGTCTGGTACCACAACTGCTCCTTTGCATTCACGTACCCACCTGTGCTAGCAGACCGTAGTCACAATATCAACACAAACCCTCCACACACTGTAGTGTAAACTTGTGAGCTGTGTGCAAGCTAGTCACGCTAAACCTACACAACAACGTAGCGTCACGCTCCATTCTGTGGACACAGCAGGTTGGGTTAGGCACCCATCTGTGCGAGTTCTGTGCGATATGGTGGTATATACTGCAGCTGGGCTACTAGTTTTCTACTTCAGGCAACGGAGCTAAGGCTACGTACAGTTACACAATGAAAGATAACCAGACTGGCTACGATGCAAACATCTGCTTTCATCCAAAGTGCCCTCACTTGGCACGCATGAAGTCAGAAGAAAGCAAAGGGAGACAATTGTCCCGCTCAGTGTCACAGAAAGGAACAATGTTCTAAGGAATTAGGGAACACCCATTGGCTCTGTTCGTGTGACTTCAATAAAACAGTGACAGAACAACTTAACTTGCTCTTAGAGCAACTGATTAGAGCGCTGCAGCACAATGGGCGCCGCCCTGTCCTGGCCTATTGTATACATACACACTTCTACACTTGAGCTGCTGGAGAATACGCTGTATTTCGTGTACGTACTTTGCTGCCAAACAGAAAAGGTGCCGACTGCAATAGCTCACTAACCCCACACGCATAATACACGTGTAGTGCTACAAATCAGACCCGAGTTCGAGTTTTCACTCAGAAAAACTGGCACTGTCAACAGTTATACGTGTTTTCCAGTTTCATAACAATGGTGGTGCTGCATACAGCAAACGTCTCCCCCAATAGTGTACTCCTGGACCTAAGTCTCGGACTGGGAGCCACTGAGGGTGTAGTAAGTGGTGGTAACTGTGCATACACCGAAAAGATCTTTATACAGGACTGCGTATCAAGAATACAGTATATTCCCCACACTCGTAGCAACAGCTTAAGCGCTACACACGCGCGCGCACACACACAAACTGCAAAACACCCTCGGCCTCCCGTTTCCAATTCACAGCCAGAATGGCGGGCCCTCCGCTTGCCCACGCGCGCTCGTAGAAACCGCAGACATCCCAGTTCAACAATGAATATTTAGCGTTTCCGTATATGGAAAGGGCACACTATTAGGGAGATCAAAAGGTTTCCATGGAGACGGATCACCGCCGTAATTACGTCACCGTCTGGAGTATCGTTTCCCGGGGAACCCACTGGAATGTATGTGTAAATCATCATCTTTGGCATGCGAATAAAAATGATATTAGGTCAGCCCCAAAGGGGGAGAACACTCACCGCCACTCAAGAAGAATCGGGGTGGACAGGGCGCCCGCAGACTCTCCGTTCTCTTTTTCACTGCGGTCTGCGGAGACCCACAAATCCGTCCGCCAGAGTAAATTCTATTGCTAAACACACGCACACAGATGCCCGAGTGGCCCCTCAAAAGAGCGTATACACGCACTGGGGACTCTATGCAACAAAAACTGAAGTCTATGTCACTGAATGGACTGAGCGATTGCCTCAGAGCGGCACTGAAGGAGTCAACTATAGGGGCACTGGATCGCTCCTCGAGGTCTTGGGAGCTATCCGAACACCGCCAGGGGCCAGTGTCGACGTCCACTCACAACTAAACTACGCTTAGAGCCTAGCAGAGTACGACCGCTGCACACTGCAGACGATCGCAGGCGGCAAACTTCGTGGGAACAACTGCTCTTGATCGCGATGATCGCGTCGATGACAGATGACAGTCGACAGACGGCAGCAGGAAGTCCTCTGAAAAATACCATTTCCACACAAAAACATGTGACGAGAGTGGCTTTTCCACATCCTGTTGTTTTGGCTAAATATTTGTCGACATGCCGTACCGCACGGAATGAAGACGTGTCTATATCATAACTGCGCACGCGCAGGAAGTTCCCTCCAAAAGCGCGCCAAAAACTCTGCTGTACTGTTTGCGTGTGTGTGAAAAGAAACTGACAGTGCCGCTGCGTGTGTGTCGCGCGATCGCAGCCATGAATGTAGCCGATAGTGTTTCGCCCACTGCAGACATGGAGTGCAGAGGCAAAGGAGTCCCTCCAACTGGTAAATGGGCCTATACTTATACGATATCTGAGCACAAATATCCGTTTGTCTCTCCTCTCAGACGTGGAGACACCCAGCTCCCTGCTCGTATCGTCAGAGACAGCTTGTGGTCTGAAGCAAAGTGAGCACTAACTAACAGTCCTTTCGAACAATTTTCACGATTGCCCACGCCATCTATCATCAGGTCGCCTCTTGTTCCCACCCTCCACCACAGTTCCTCCATTACCACCCACCAACGGGGACACGCCCACGGCCACGCCCACTCAGCAGCAACAGCTGGAATGTGTGTCTTCTAATGGTAGCCCACCACAGTCGACTGCTCCCCCCACTACAACACCAATGGAAATCGAGGGTGAGTTGCTGAGAAGTGGGTGTTGCATCAATTACAGTGTGGGGGTATTATACATACACAATGATGCGTTGTGTAATATTATGTGTACATAGAGAGCGGTGAGACAAGCTGTGAACCTGTGAAAAGTACTTCCGTGGCTGTTTCTGAAACTTTGGTAAGAAACTCAACTCCAGTCACACCCCTGGTACTAATTCCCGCATATATAGTAGACCATGAGTCAAATCAAATGATTCTTGTCATTTTGTTTGTGTAAATCATCCTCAATTAAAACTTACTCTAAGAAAAAGCAAAACTCTAGCCTTTGTAAAAAGCGACTATCTACATATTATTTTGTGCTTTCGAAGAGGTCCCGCTATTTCCATTCACCAACATTTGAGGGATCTCTCTCTTTCGTTGGTGTGTAGACAAAGGTGAAGAAGACGAAGGCACTGAGACTGGAGAGGGAGCGGCTGAGGGCAGAGGCGCAGGCTGTCAGGGAGGAAGAGAGACTCAGAAAGGAAGAGGCCAGGCTCAAGAGGGAATTGGAAAAGAAGTGAGGCAGTATAATTATAAGCAGCAGGTTTTTTTTCCATCCGAGCCAGAATAGTTTCTTTTGTTCAACGAAAATTTCGCCATATGAACATTTTTATTGGAGTACCAAGTGGACATAGATACACATTGAAAAATTTTACTTACCACTTTAAATTGTGCATCCCAACAAATTAACAGTTTGGTGTGTTATAGCTGTGTGCTCTTTCCCTGAAATTCTGGTAGTGTTGAAATGTGTGTGTTTTTAAATCCGTGTGGTTGCAGAGCTCGTCGCGAGCGTCGTGAGCAGGAGGAGCGAGCGAGGCAGGAGAGGAAGGAGGCCAGGGAGAGAGAGAAGAGAGAGAAACAGGAGAAGAAGGAGACTGAGAGACGCTACAGGGAAGAGGAAGAGAAGAAGAGAAGGGAGGAGAAGCAGCGGGCAGAGCTAGAGAAACAGCTCTGCGCCGAGGAAAAGGTACTGAGACTTTCCCTCAATTTCAGTGTTGTGGTTTCGACGGCGTTTTGAGTGTGTCTGTTTTTCTCTGCAGATTCGCAAACAGCACAAGCTCTTCAGCAGCTTCTTCAGTAAACTCCCAAAGACCGAAGCTCAAACAAATGTCAGCGTTCACACAACAGACACCCACTGTATGCATTGCACTATACACACACATACATCAAGCCCCTAGACAGTTCGTCTCCCGCTTGTATAGTGTACACACACACACTGTGTTATGCAGGGAAGGTCTGAAAATGAAAGGCGAGGGGTCGGTTTTGATGCCTCTGTATTTGATGGGATGATAAATAGCCAGACCGAAGCCCATCTGTCTTACCTCACTGACTGCCGGTCCCATCGACTCCGTACTTATAAACCACGCCCTGCTGAGAGTGATGATGTCATCATTACGTCGTCTCCGAATGCACCGCCTCGACCGCAGATGAAGCTCCTCCAGTTTCACTCCAACGTGCGTCCACCCTACTTTGGTTCGTGGAGAAAAAAGAGTGAAGTCGTATCTGGGAGAGCTCCTTTCAGAATGGACAAGGTAAAAATACAGCGGATGAAAAAAAAAAAATGTATGCGTCTTGTGAAACGTATCTCCATAAATATTGTGGGTAGTGGGCTTAGATAGTACAAAATCATGGAAGTTTACTACTGAAAGAAGAGTTTCTCTTTCTGTTTCCCCCCTCTATAATCATAGTGAGCCTCAGAAAGTCCTGGTTACATACATATAATGTCAGTCCCGTCCATATGTTGTTCAATAAATTCACCCATATTCGTAGAAGCCTGCCATGTTCTATTCTTTTTGTCTGCGCAGTTGCTAAGCTGTGCTTGTCATTGACAATGATGTTTAAGGTCTTGTCAACCTGTACGCGCGCTTTGCTCATCAGAAAGAGTCAATGGTATAGAAGTCTGTCGCATGCTTAAAGAGAAACGACACTATTCCCAAAGGCTCGCCCCATGATGCTCTATCGAGCCGTTCGCGATCTGGATGTTGTTGCCGAGCCAGAGGGTGCTGTACTGGCCGACTGTCACATATGGCGTAATCGTCTTTGGTGCTTTGTGGTGCAATGGCAGCCGTCTATACAGTCTGTCTGAACTCACTTTTGACGGACAGACGGTGATCTGCATCTCGGCAGGGGTAGAAATGAGCTCAATGCCGTCGGACCCCTCATGTGCTCGTGTATGATACAACATTGTTAGCACCCTGGCAAGTATCGGTCGTGAATAGTCCCCAATGCGTTCCAGTTTTCGAGTGATCTTTTAAAGTGCTCACAATATAGCCTTAGAATCTCACCACGACCATTGAGAGGGCTTGTTTTTCCACATTACATCATCCAGTATGGTGGTCTGTCTCCCTGCTTATTGGCACTTATGTAGTATGCATGTTTTACAAATTTACGTCTGTACGTATACACAGAGTTCTAGTAAATTTGTAATCTATCTACATATCTATAGCCATTCAAATGGCTACATAAAAGAATGGGTCGTTGAATGGGATAGGGGATGACTATATGCATGAGTCTGGAGCCAACAAATTTCTCTCGACCAAACCCTTTCGTTACACATGCTTTTAGCTTTTAGCTTTTAGCTTTGTTTCTTTACACAGACTGCATGTGGAGTAGACGCACCCTTCACTTCATGTTTTTAATGAATTATCTTCCAAAGCGTACAGCGGCCAGACGGAGAGTATGATTATAGTGAATCATAGCTTATTGGAACCCCTTGACTGTTTAGATAAATGGATACAATACATGGCTGGAGTCCTTTTCACTTCCTGGTGCAACTCGCAAATGCAACATGCAGTGACTAAAAGCAGTAGCCTTTCAGCTCCATAATCCATTGGTCTATCGTATTATGCACAGTGCATTGATAATCCATTGGTCTGTCGTATTATGCATTGGTCTATCATAATTCCATTGGTCTATAATAATAAATGCATAATGCATAATGCATTGGTCTGTCATATTATGCGCAGTGCATTGGTCTATAATAATATGCTTATTGACCGTTGCTAGGTGGTTGCTATGTTTATTGTGCTACTATAAATCAGCTAATGCACCAACGAGGTGTTAAGGTGACAATATGCACCATGGTTAGTGCTTATATCTGATATAAGCACTGCGCTTAAAGTGCATCATAGCAACTTTCCGTGTTCTTGAGAATGAACTTCTTTTCCAGCGTCTTAACTTTAGCACCGCTAAAAAAATTCAAATCGCTCACTGTACTCTTGACTCATGGGCTCTACTTACTTCCCTAATGCCAGACTCAACCTCAGCTTCTTGCCCGTGCGGGATTGATCATCGTCCTCAGCCTCGCTTTCTGAAGTTCACCCTTCGACACTTACGCGAAGAGGGCTTCGAGACCTCTTTACCATGACTTGCAACAGAGCGCAAAGCAAGGAGAAACGCCAGTGGGAGCTCCGCACACGAGAAAGCGCGGCAGAAGACGCGAAACCAAAAAAATGCACGCGTAGGCGACGGCAATTGACGTCATAGCACCTAGCAACTATCAATAAACTAATTATTACACCTTTTGTCGTGCTGTTGCGGTTTACAAGGCCTCGCCCTCGGGACGTCGGCCTTGTAAACCAGCAACAGCACTCCAAAAGGTGTAATAACTACTACATAATGCATTGGTCTGTCATATTATGCACAGTGCATTGGTCTGTCATATTATGCACAGTGCATTGGTCTGTCATATTATGCACAGTGCATTGGTCTATAATAATAATGCATTGGTCTGTTGTATGCAGAGTGTGCTGGACTATGAGTTTGACAGTGACGATGAGTGGGAAGAAGAGGAACCGGGAGAGAGTGTCTCTTCAGCCAGTGAGGTGGGTAATGAATATTTTCAGAGTAGGCTGTGGGAGAGCCGAAACTGTATATACTGTTAATCGGAATGTTGCAGTAATCAATTAAGTTTCGTTTTCAGAAACAGCTTGGCCCTTACCTACTCCCACATTCCCTTAAACAGTGCAAAATACAGTACAACTGCCAAAATTGAGCAAATTAGTTGCCACGAGTTTTCCACTGTCGTCACTGTATGTATTACTGTGTTGATGACAGGGTGAGGAGAGTGGAGGGGAGGAATCTGGCGGGGAGGAGGAGGGGGAGGACGGGTTCTTTGTGCCCCACGGCTACCTCTCAGAGGACGAGGGAGAGAGAAGTGAGTCTGAGGAAGGAGGGGGACTGCCTGGGACTCAGGTGAGAGAGGACCCCTCTATCTCTTCATTGTTAATTACCACCGTTTGGTGGTACACGATGCATAAAAAATTTTCGTTCAAGCCCTTTATAAGCATTGTTATTTTCACGGGGGGAGGGGACTAAATCGCTCCCTAAGCATCATACTACCATTGTGTTTTGGAGAAGATTACTTCATTCGGCATTACAAAGACGTGTGTCCTCATTATAATGCAACACCTGGGGTTACTTTTCTATTAGGGAAAAGCACTGTGTGCAACTTGTTCTTATATTATAGCCCTGGATAATGCTCTGTGGTGTTATTGAAAGCATTTATTCACCCTTTGGTTTGTGGATTGTCGTTTTCGTTCTGTCTTATTCCCACTGAACAGATGGACAAGGTACAGGCCAAGGCGAGAGCCTGGGAGGCGGAGTTTCAGCGGACGTGTCATCCAAAGAAGCCGGTGTGTATCGGATGTGTGTGGGTGATGGGGGAAGGAGAGGGAGGGGAGGGGAGGAGGGAGGACCAGGTTTTCCTGTCAAAGTTATCAGCTCTCGTGTTGACGGAGTCTCCGGTCAGAGTGGAGCCACTCACTCCAGTCACCACTATCCCCACTGAGACCCACGGTACGTGTCACGCCGACGGGAAAAAATTCATCTGCTGTCTAGATCGAACCCTTTGTGTGTGTATTTCTGCATGAAGTGCTTGAGATGTGTACTGAAGCATTATCTTTCTCTGCAGCTTCAAGTGTTACAGACAATTTGAAAAGACCAGTGCCTGAAGAAGGTGCGTTTTATACACTAAACTACTTTGCCCATTACTAGCCTTGATGTGTGTTAACCTGACCATATCTGACTTATGTTAGAATGTGCCTATTTTCTATCAGGTTATGACCATTAAGAATAAATTGTGTGTGTGTTTCCTATCCAGCAATGCCAGACCTGATCCGTCTGGTGCACCAGAGCACGGCTGGACTTGGTAAACTCGTTAAGATGTTCCAGGCTCACTGGGGGGCAGTACTCCAGAACAGAGGGACACCTCTAGATGTTGGAGAGGTAGGGGATGTGGGGCAAGGGGGAGTCCGATCGACCAGGGACCGTGGGTCGCCACCAGCAGGCAGCGGCGGTCTCTCATCTCCTCGCGTCAGGGAGGCGGTGGAGGGAGAGAACCACAGCGGGATATCCAAACGGCAATTGGAGAAGAAGATCCAGCAGATTGCAGTGAAAGAATTACGCCCGCCGTCGACCAAGCAGACGTGGTACGTCCACGATGCCATTCTGGAGAAATACAAGATTGACGGGGCCCAACTTGTACCTCTCTTCCCTCCCACACCGAAATCGTGCTTGACTTCTGTGGCGGAGAAATCTTGCAGTCCCGAGGCGTCTCTTTCTACCCCTGTTAGCAAGAAGAGGGCCAAGCGAAGGGCTGCTGGTAACACTCCTACACTCTTTGAGGTGATTGCTAAATCCCCCCAGGCTACGAGCTCGGCGACAGCGCCAGCTCAAAAGAGGTTAAAGTTGGTGCCGTCCCCGGCTAGATCAGCAGCGAAGTCGACAGGTGACAGCAAACCACCGAAGAAGAGAATTAGGCTGGAATCACTGAGTTTGAGATCCCCTCTTCCTCCAGTGGAGAAAGCTGGAGCAAGTGGGAGTCCAGTCATTATCATTGATGACACGTCCACTGACACGTCCACTGACACACACTCGCTTCAGCCAATGGATGATTCCAAACCATCCACCAATACCACCGTCTCAGCCCAGCCAATGGATAATTCTACACCATCTACCACTGGCACCGTCTCAGTTCAGCCTATGGACGATTCTAAACCATCCACTAGTAGCACTGTCTTGGTTCAGCCAATAGACAATTCGAAACCACTCGCCAATACGACCATCTCGGTTCAGCCCACAGACAACTCGAAACCATCCACCAATAATATCACTACACCGTTACGAAAGGCACAGATTCCCGTCAAACGTCTCCCACAAATCCCTGCTGCAAACCAGCCAACCCCCGACACTAAAACGGTGTTTGCTGACACCAAATGCTTGCAAGAAGTCACTAACAGCCAGAAATCATTGGCTGGAACTTCAAACTCTGAGGACGGTGGCAAAAATGGAGAAAATCGGCCACATGTAGACTGGCAGAAGCTTCTAAGTGCAAGCAGCTCAAATTGCAACAAAGTCATGGTGATTGCTGACATGCACTGAAAGATATTTCACTTCCCCGTGACAATTTGTATTATGCAATCTATTGAATGTAACATGGCACATTATACACATCACTCAATAATTAAACAAGATGTGTATTATTATAGTGAGTACTGTTTGAATATTATTATCGTTGCGGCAATCGATGCGGGGGAAAGGTATTCTCAGAGAGGGTGGGCCGAGGGGCAACAAGCAGCCTTTGCAGAACTGTGTACATCTCTCGGTAGCCTCCCTGCACGTGGCAAGAGACAGCCAATAATGGTTTAACCCAAAGAACACCTCGGTTATTAACCTCCAAAAAAAACCTGTAGGAGCACAAAATATTTTTAATGGTCCCAGTGTGTTTTTATTTGAATGGAGGTTTCCAGCAAAAAAAATGGAAAAAAATAAATATATAATTATATTAGCACATTTTGGTTAGGGAACTTACATATTTTGTGGCTGCCTTTGATTGGGAATTTGACGCGTAGTGAGTGGGGATTCTGACACACGAACACGTACGGAGACTCTGACTCTCCATCAGGAAACTATAGGGGGAATTCATCTCCTCTCAATCAATCTTCAATGTCAGTTCAGTAAACAGCGAGATTGAAATAATATTTTGGTGGCCCCTCGATTTCATACAATGAGGTTCCCACCACATGTGGTCAAGAAGCACACCTTTTCTCTGTACTGTTCTTGTGACAGGCAGTCTGTCACGTCAACGTAGCCCAGGAGACAGCTGGTAGGATAGTCAATGGGAAACATCACTTCACCTGCTGTGATGGACGCAGTCTCAGTTCACTCGGTGGTTCACGGTTGGTATAATGATACAAGCCACAAGGACGATTGTACTACAGTGGAACCACTGTGACAGAAGAAACTCTCCGTATTAGTGAGGTGTCCTCTTATTTCAGGGGTTAAATTGTGTGTGTTGCAAGAGCTGTTTCATGGGGAACAACAAAGGTATAGTGGTGTCCCTCATTAGGGAGGGGTTAATTCCACTGTAGTAGGGACTTACAAATTGGCTCATTCTCTTCCCTCCGGACTAACGTGTGTAGCATGGCCACTCTGATCAATGTCTATCACTAAGTACGGTAGCACTTAGTATATAGGGATGGGCATGGTACCTAGAATCATAGATGTATGGGGCTATGATAGGGAGTTTTGTTCATCTTCTCTAATGCACAAATGGGGTCTAGTGTGTGTGAGTGGATTATACTATGGGAACTGTTGTCTGTTCTACTACCACAATACTAATGTCACAGTAAACACAGGAAATACACAGGAAGAGGGCTTCTGGTAAACCCGTTGATTTATAGGTATATATGCACGCATGGTTTGAGATTGCCAAAGTCTGAAATAAACCAACTTGCATAGAGGCTCCGGTAGAAGTGCTCCGCTTGCTCAATCTCAGGTTGAGATGGGACTTTGCCAGCTGCAGCAATCCACAGCCGGCCCCTGTGGGTGGTGTACCACGACCGACCTTCCACCCTACAGATATGACATCATCTTTTGAGTAAAGTTATTTTTGGCAAAGACAGATTGTGACAAATTTGTGTTGGGAATGGCTCACGAATAAGGATGCAACCAGCTGGCAAACACGGTGTACTAAAAACTATCTGATCCAAATGTGTTTCCTGTATCATTATGTGGCACATACGTAAAGCGGTTATCCAAAGACTTACTGTTTGATGCCTTCAACTAGTAGAGAGGCCCATGGTTGGTGCATGCTCAGACACTTCCCTGCAGACACCAGTTACACACCATTGATCACTTCAACTTCATTACATCATAATGACATCATAATGACACACACACACATAGACTAAACACAGCCACTCCCCCACTTACTACATGCACTGTGTGCATATATTATTAGAGGCGCACTAATGCTACCAGTATAACATGATTGAAATGTAGCCGTTTTTCCAAAGCAGTCATGTGACCCACCCTGTGTTACCATGGTAGTCACATGACTGACCTTCGTCTCTCATCTCCTGCAACTCTCTGTCCTGTAGTCTTGTGATTAGAGCCACTTCCTTCATCTCTCCCGGTCTCCCCCTCTCTCTCCTACCCTTACCGTCTCCCTCGTCAAACCTGAACTGAAATGCACAGCAACTGCTGAGAACACACCTTGACCTGAAGGACCTACAGTCAATATGGATTTTTAGGGTGAGCATTGTGTACATACGCAACGTGACTTTACGGCTCCACACGTACACATTTATTGGCATTCTGTCAAAAATAAGCCACGCCTTATGTTACAAAGACACACTAAATACCTTTGTTGAGTGTTTAATAATAAACCAGCAACATTACCCTCAGGGGTGTGTAATACTAGCACATACATACGTACATGTGTTAGGTAGGAAGGCAAAGGCACAACAAACAAGTCAACTACATCCAGGACAGCTCTTTTCTTCCAAGGAAAAAAGAAGAGCTGCCCTGGGTGCAACATATAAACCTGGTGTCCCCCACACCCATCTACAGACGTGTGGCTCACTCTAGGTCTCTCTATTGGGATGGAAGGGTTGGATATGTCAGTCACAGGCTGCTCTCTGGTTGTTGTCGTCCCCTTTTTCTTCGTCTTCTTCTCTTTCACCACGTCCCTCACGTTGGCCTCGTCATACAGGTCTGCAGTGTCCAGGCAAGCAGCAATTGCTCACATTTCTGTCAACATTCAACCCCCCACAGTACTTCAAAGGGTACTGCCATCCTTTGATCTTTCACTTCAGAATAAACAAACGGTGGACATTAATTGGCAAGCAAAGCGAGCCCACCTAGTCATCTCAATTGTGTGAACGCTACGATAAAAAAACCAGATGGAAATTTTGCACTTAAATAGTAAAGTATGTGCTCTACAGTTCACATTTGATTAAGCAATTGACTTCTGTGGTAGAGTAATTGGTGAGTGAAGCGAGCCCACACCTAGTCTGAATTTGCGCGATTTTTTCTCCGTACTATTTGTTGTAGACGGTGCTGTCAATACCGTAATGCTTCTAAATAGGTAACCACCGAAATCCGTTCACTTGCATTGAAATACACAGACACAGATACACAGAGGAGCCACCAATCTCAGAGTGCTCCTCCACGACTTTCCTCCCGGCAATGTCGAGAGTGACGGCCCGGTTTCGACGTGACCCAAACTTCTTCTCCCGCAGTTCCTCCTCTCTCTGCACCAGTGCCGCCTTCTCCTGGGGACTCTTCCAGCTAGTGGCGTCCACGTTGAAGAAATCTCGCTCGTCATCTAGTACGTGCGTCCGCTGGGCACTGCACGTGGCATAATACACAACAGTAAGGACGGATAGTAGAAGAAAAAATATACAGTGGATAAATCGAGAACGGGGACAAACTTGTAAAACATTTTTAGTAGCCTTGAGGCACTAGAGAACCCTCATGGTAATAAATTTTCACATTTTGCTCTTATTTTGATGATAAAATTTTAAACTGTTGCAGTATGGAGACCTAGTATGGAGACCTAGTCTGGTCAAAGTTGAAACTTGTAAAACCTTTTTAGTAGCCTTGAGGCACTAAAGAAGACTCTGGTAATAAATTTTCACATTTTGCTCTTATTTTGATGGGTAAACTTCATAAAATGTTAAAACTTTTACAGTATGGAGACCTAGTCTGGTCAAAGTTGAGCAGCTTGTCCTTGTGATACACTGCCTTTTCAAGGCCACCGGAGGACTGGACTGTCTTGAAATGCTCAAACGCTCTCTCTCCTTCCTGCATATACATGGTTATCATAAAAACCCTATATAAATTTTGCCATTTTTTTACTCTAGATTTTTTGAATGTGTGCCAGTGTGAGTGTGCCAGTGTGTGTGTGTGTGTGTGTGTACACAAGAGAAAGAGGAGCTAGTATGTGGAGAGACGTGCTGGCAAACGGCCATCGCTCCAGCCCGCATCCACGACGGAGCACTAAACCAACTCCATTTTAGGGCAAGTCGTCTAACTCCCTTGGTATATACTGTCCAACAATCTGCCTCAACATGCCCCACATTTCATACATACACACACTGCTGTATAATGGACACACGGTCCTGTAGACTATAAAGGGAGATGACTAGTCGTCTTGCCAACATTCCATGGCAAGGCTGTACGCCACAACACTGCAGGTTGTCCATACCAGGCACACACAGGATGTCACAGGTACAAGGCACATGAGCTAATGTATTGTGAGGGTCATTATATATAGAGGGTGCATGCCACTCCGTGGGAAAGTAGTACACTTTATATAGGACCATTATAGAGACCCTTTGTGTCTCCAGAGTAGTATGAAACTCACTCTGGGGGAATATGGGTAGGCAGAGAACACACGATACTAGAATGAACTATTGTTGAGCAAACCTAAATAAGTCAATAGAGAGGACCTCAGAAACACTGTGTGTAATGCCCGTCCTTACGTATTGTATATTGAGGCATGAGAGTTATTGGATTCTGCTCATGGATCACATGTACCTGTAAATTGTACTGCTTTATCAGCTTCTCCTTTATTTTCTGCGCCTTTTTCGAGTCCTTGGCCAACATTTTTTCCTCGTCCGGTGCAAAAATGAGCGATCCACAAAATATACAGGGGCCAGCACCTTCCTGCGTAGTAATGAGAAGATTACGTCGAGAGCTTCACAGGTGGATCTTAGGTACTGTGCACATCACGAATCAAAGAAAGATTTCTTCCGTGACCTATACACCATAATAAATAAGCTTCAAGTTTGTTTGTTTGTTTGTTTGACCTTAGAGCAAACAATCCGCCCACACTCGACGCAGTTATTAAATATGCTTCAGGTTTGTTTGTTTGTTTGTTTGTTTGACCTGAGAGCAAACAATCCGCCCACACTCGACGCAGTTATTGACGAGGTCGTGTTTCTGGGCCAGACACTGGCAGACGTGTCTCCCCGGTAGCTGCATGGCCATTCGCGACTGGCCCTCTCTGCTTATCAGAGGAACAAACTTCTGTTTCTTTGTCGATGCTGTTGACGTCACGGAGCTCTGGCCTCCAGACTGACGCGATGTGGAATGGGAAGAGGAAGAGAGACCGGGAGGGGGGCGTGTCAGGTGGGAATCAGAGGCGTGGCTGGATTTCCAGGGCGGAGCAGCAGCTGCAGAAGAGGGTGTGGCTTGTGCTCTAGAGAACCCAGGAGGAGGGGCATGGGCATGTTCCTGCAGAGATTTTCACATAGCACTCCAGGTAATGTGTAAATATACTACTCTAATCCAGAAGACAAATGAGTGTCCAAATTATTGAGCTGTCCTTATAAGAACTACTCTTGGGAGAGAGGTGTCCAACTCACTTTCTTTGTCTTGTCTGTCTTACTCGAGCCACCGCCACTTTTTCCCCCTGCGGAACCCCCACCTCCGTCCCCACGAAACAGCACCATGTCTTCCTGCGAGGGTCTCTCCAGAATTTGGGCCTCCAGGGGGCCCAGAAGTGTGGGGACCCTCTGCGGGGGGTGCCAGTGAGACAGAAACTCCTTCTGGAAGGCGTCGGATTTTGTTCCCAAGAGATCTTCCAGGTATTCCCTCACGTCCTTGGCCGTCTGCATAGACATCAGGTAGCTGTTTGGTCGACGAGAACATGTTTTGATGTTTTACGGTCCTCCGGATATTACAGCTCTCACCTTACTAGCTCCTCTTCCACGGGGAAGCCTAGAAGCTTAGAGAGTTCTTTTTGACACCAGGCTTTCAGCTTGGAGTCGTTCTTCTCTATAGAAACAGGCATTTTCGGCGGCTGCCTGACTTGCACAACTGCTGCTACTCCAAATGACGCGCAGCAATATTGTGACGTCATGAACGACACGTGGGTTCACGCATGCGCTCTTCAAAAGCGGTTGCATTCAGCAGCAGCATGCAGCAGCCAGCATGCAGTAATGCAAAAGCGTCGCGATCTCTGCGGACTATAAATAGACTTGCTCACCAGTTTCTCACGTCTTGCAAACTAAACCACGAACCGAATCGACAGGCCTACTAGGTATAGCTAGAAAACGAATTTTTACTGCAGAAATGGAAGGCATCAAGAAGAAACTGCAAGCTCTAAGAGGAGAAGTGGAAGAAGCCAGTACTAGAGAGGCAGAGGCAAAGGAAGAAGCCGCAAAGGCTCGCCAGGAAGCGGACCGCGTAAGATAGCTAATGCTAATGAGCTGTTATACGTGGAAACCCACCAACGGCAAGCCGATGTTCAAGATACGTGGGCTGTGCAGTTCACCTCCGCACGCATTGAATAATGCACGTGTAGGTATTATAGCACTCTAACAACGATTTTATTCACAATAATCAGGTGGAGCCCCTTGCAATCATGATAATGCTTGATGGGACAATCTTTCTACTGATCTGTTTCTCTGGATCGGATTATTTTTACTTTTATCTGTGTGTATATATATAATATGTGCTCCCACAGCTCCAGGAGGAGAAGGAGGACGTGCAGCGGAAGCTCGTCATCTTGCAGGATGACTTGGAGAAAAGCGAAGCTCGTGCCGACGAGTACCGCAAGGAGGCCGAGGAGAAAGCTAGTGCTCTTGATGAGACAGAGAGGTCAGCTGAACTCCAGCATTGACATTTTAAAACTTTTCTATCCATGAGGGTATTTTTGCTGGATGCTATCACACAGGCAGAGGCCCATAACTCAATAATGATGCTGGCCTGGTAGGTCTTCAACTTTTCTAAGTTCAAGCGAAAGGATAGTTTATACAGGCAAAATGAACGATTCAGGACAAAAAGTAAAATCATTGCCAAACCACGAGGGTATTTTCGCTGGATGCTGTCACACCAGCGGGGGCCTATAACTCAATATGATACTGGCTTTTGGATGTAGCACATATGACTGGGTGTCTGTAGGCAGATCGCTACTTGTGGAATGAATGGAGTGTGTGTGGAGGCAGAGGCTGCATACAATGAGCCTCTGGCAGTCGTGTCTGGCATGTGTCGTGCTGTACAAATAAGTGCATATATTACAGTGATTTATGTATCAACCACAACTTGCGTGCAACGAAAAAAAGTGTCCAGGAATGAGCGATGCTATCCAGCTAGTCACTGCTGTGGATGGTTGGACAGTGTTCATCCCTGGCACGTTGGTAACAGCCAACACACTCCAAATTGGTAAATTACTGAGGAATCTTAATAAATCCACGGGGAATACCATAAAAGGCAAAAAGGTGTAGATCTGCTGCAACAGACTTGGCATTGCACGAACGCAGTCTCCCTTTCTGAGAGTGTATCCAGCTGTATCTTGTCTCCCTTCCCGCCTTTAGTGCTGACCAGTTAGGCTGTGAAATCAAATTGGTCCTGGACTCCATTTGTGTGTGTGTGACCCTCGTTGTGTTGTGGTCTGGCATCTCTATGTGGCTGCTGGTATAATGTGTGATCGGTATTACCTATAACACAGACATCATTATTTTGACAGCTGATATGCCTTCATTTTGCTGAACCTAGCTAGTTTGCTTGCTTGCTCTATACTTTCTGAGCATGGCCATAAAAGGACAAGGAAGGGGAACTTAATGGACTGCCAAGAATGCAAGGAATGCCTGGTAATGTGGTCAGGCTCCTTTGGCCTCTGTGCATTTTTGACTGATCGTGGCTGGTAGTACACAGTTACAGGGACGTTGTCAAGGATGTGATGTCGTTCTTTTCACACAAAGGTGTTCCTTGGGAACCCTCCTTCCTTCCTGCCTTCCCTCCCCCTCAACTACTCTCTCTCTCCCTCTCTCTCTCTAAAGGTTGCTGAGAAAACTGACAACAAACAAAGATGTCGATTCAGATGAAGTTAGTTACACTCCATTGCTATATCTTTGTTCTAGGACATAAGAATAATATGCCAACAACTATTTATACCCCGTCATGCAGAAAGAGATTCTCATAGAGGAGATCAGAGCCAAGACAGACAGAGCCGTAGAGCTTGAGAAGCTGGTTGAAGAGGTCAGTTGTGTGCTCATGTCAACATGAGAGGTGCACCGTGTCATGTGGTACATTCCCATCAACTAGTTGGGGGCGCATTATTCAGTTGGGGTGTATTGATCGTGTAAATGGTTTTTCACTGCAGTTGAATGGACGGATAAAGTTACTGGAGGGAGATTTGGAGTCAGCAGAGGACAGGAACGATGAGCAGAGTCGGTCAGTTTAACCCTCTCTCTCCCGCTATCCCGCTCTCTTTTAATCAATTTCTCACTGACTGTTGTATGTATGAACACCTTTGCTCTTCCTTGACCCTCTGTTTCCCGTCTTCTATACAGGAAGGTCGGTTCTCTGGAGAAGGAGCTAACAGAGCCACAAACTCACTGAAGGAAAGGGTTGTCAGTGATGAAAGGGTCAGTGTACTGTATATAGTATCACTCTGTAAGACTGTTGTTGAAGTGTTGTTGCCTACAACTGAAAGGCAACCAGAAAGCAAAAGAGTGTAGTGTGTGTGTGTGTAGAGTCCAGGTACGTAGCAGTCCATGCTCCGTGTTAGCTACACAAACAGCATATCTGTGCACACGTGAATATTGTATGCTCAATTGATCACATATCTACACATTTATTACGCCGTTCCCACAATTATGACTTTGTTATAGGAGCATGTGGCTAGTTTTACACCAGCCTGTATAAGTTTGGACATCTCAGTATACGCGAATACAGCTATGGGCCTTAGTGGCCTGACTCGTGATGTAACTGGCTTCAAAACAAGCACATAGTGCCAACACGGGTAATAGGTTCAGCAGAATCCACACATGTACTGCTCTATCTATACATGTGATAATCTGGCTTTCATACACAGAACCCAGATTAGTCAATATGGAGTGTCCATACGAGATCCGCCAACCGTGGCATGCTATAGCCTTAACAATGAGAAGACGTAGTTTTTGTCCAGACTATAGGACAATGTTCAATGACTGTATTATGTGATGTTCAATGACTGTATTATGTGAGGCGCGACAAACAAATCTTCTCTGGCGCCCGTAAATGGTGATTCAAGTGACTTGTATGACATTTCATACCCATGCTATCGTGTTACCGTTTGTTTTGCCTGATTTTGCTACTAGTGCAATCATGCTACATTGCTACATGGATTCTTGAAAGAAGAAATTGAATTCTGTTCCATTACCATGTACGGTAGAAATGGAGCTAAGTAATAAAATTTGTATGTGCTCTGGTGGGAAATACATGAAATACCTAACAGCATGATACTATACATTGAGTCTCTATCACTATGGCTGCAGTCCAAGAAGGCAGAAGACGATCTCGAGGACAAAGTGAGGGACCTAAAGAGCAAGTCCTCCGAGCAGGAAACACAGCTGGAAGAGTACAAACACAGGGTCACCCAACTCGAACGCGAGAAAGACCAGCTGGAAGGTGTGTGCTCGTGTGTATATATCTGTGAACCTTAGGCTCCTCGTCATGATGCCTTTTATACTCCCCTTCAGAGGACCTAGATGCCGCTGAACAGAGGTGTGAGGGGGCCAAGAAGGAGCTAGAATCGACACTGTCTGAGCTGAGCGACATTTAGCTTCGCCAAACCTTCCGATTGAGAATAGTCTGTGAAACTTTTTTTTTGTTAGTTTTGCTACACTCAATGATTTGTAAAACTATATTCACCGGTTCAAATTGTGTTTTAGTCTCTTTTAGATTACTTTTTCATCATCAGTGCATGTATATACGTGTGTGTGTAATTATACGTACGTACGTATATACACGCGTCGTGGCAACATTATGCGCATGCGCAGTGAATCACGCGTGGGCAGTATTTAGAGATATATCCGGTGGCCATTTCTGGCGAGAGGGTGCAGCTCATTTTCGTGTTTTGCTTTGATCGGACAGTGCTCAAGAGTCAGCCGGTGAGTTTGGGAGGTTAATCTGTAATTACTCTTGTGTGTATGGCCAGTTTGCTTGGCTGTGAAGGCCTGAGTTTAGCTGTGGCTGTTGAACGCCCTCGAAATCGCCACGGTTGCGCGCGCGTGCACGTTCACCTTTACCATCGGCGGCGCCGGTTGTGTGAATAGCTCAATAGTTTACTGTACAGTGTTTTCTCTTGTGGTGTGTGTGTGTGTTTACGGGACTAATGGTGGGATAGAGCGAGCCGCCAAGGTGCGATGTAGGCCGGCCAACTGTGCACTCCGCGTGGGTCGGGCGCGGCGGTGGCGCCATTCGCCGTTGGCCCTCTGCCACCTTAGCTAGCAGTGGGGAACTTAGGACCAAGGCAGGATTTCACGCCTTGTGCCAACGCTGGGGCTTCCAAAATTTCACACGTAGGCATTCGTGCCCAGCTAGGTTTGCTTGCTCCCACAATATGGTAGTGTGTAGCGCACTGGTATGTACTAATTGCTCCTCTTGTGAGGGAGTGTGTGTCCCTATGAGAGTCATACATAGGCCCTGTATTGTTCCCGCCGTGTCCTTAGACAGTACAGAGGGTCTCGGTTGCTCCGTTGGCCGGAACTAATGTAAGTCGGTGTTTGTAGGGTATTCGCGTGGAACAGTGGAACAGTTAGCAAGTGTTGCGTGTGCCTCTATGAGTAGTGTTAACAGATGCTGTTGAATTTTGAGTTAGGCCGTAGGATTTTTAGCGGTTTTAAAATCGGGGATTTCCCTCTCGCAAGCTAGCTATATAACGGTCCTGTTTTTCAATGTGGCCGATGTAAAATGGGCTACTTGTACTTCGACTGGGCTTGTGAAAGCTCATCGCAAAGCTTTTTAATAGCAATATTATATCCTCGCTTGACTATCGCATTCGGTGACTATATGTAGGCCTCTGGTTCGTGTGTTTTGATATAAGGAAACAGCCCACATTCCGGCTGTAATACGTCCAGATTAGCATCAACTGAAGTTAAACCACAAAAGTGTGGTAGGAGAAGGCCTGTGAGCCAAGTTATCCCTCCACTCCTGTTCTTCCCACTCACTACTACATCGCCTTCGTACACCCATCGTGTGTGTGTGTGTGTGTGTGTGTTATAATATTAATGATACTGGTTCAGCTAGGGGGAGGTGGTATGTTGCGTGTTTGTGTGGTGGTTGTTTGTAGTGGTGTATTTCGTGACGTTGAAAGGGGCTATGTGTGCGCGTGTAGCATTTGGTTGGACACCACCTTTTTGCTACGGTACTTACATATTATGTGTGTGTGTGTGTTTGCTGAACCAGGTCGCTAGGTACAATATGTAGTTATGCCACGCATTTTAAACACTAGCTTTTATAATGAAATGTCATGTGCACGTAGTAGACCATATCTCTAAAGCAACTGTCATTTTAACCATCTCCTTCTTCGTAGAGTGCAGTGTGTTTAGGTACATACTTATATTCCCAGTTTATACACGTAGACGTAGGAAACGGTTGAATATGTACACACATTATAGTGGACTTGCGTATATACTGCCTTGTTGCAGGGATTCAACTTGTGTCTGTGTGTGCTACTAACTCGTGTCAGTCAGTCAGTCAGTCATGGAAACAATCAAGAAGAAGCTGGCAGCTCTGAAGGACGAGAAAGAGGCGGCCATTGAGCGAGCAGAGGAAGCGGAACAGCTTCGGAAAGAGTCGGAGGCCAAATGCGAACAAGTAAGTTGTCGCTAAAGTAGGAAGCGGTGTAAGCCGTGGAGCTCTTTTTGTCACTCGTGGTCTTTGTGTGTTGGTAGAAGTGTGTGTACAATACAATTTGACAACTGCCCCGCCCGTGCCCCTCACTCCACTGTCTCTACGCTCGCTTGCTGATTTCCCACCAGAAAGGAGCTTGTCTTGTATTTTCACTTGTCTACTCTCTCTCTGCGTCACGCCTCTGTCTTCTGTCTGTCTCTACTATACCCATATTGATTCCATTCTCCTGCTTGTTTTTAAAGTGATATTAAGCCGCCAGAGAGGGCCGCAAATTTGGGAATAAGGGCACTATGTGGCCATTCATTCTGGCAGTGTGACGCACTAGGACATTTATGACTGTAATAGTGCACTATCCACATAGATGTACGTGTACCTGTGAAGACTTAAAAGGTGGTTTGTGTTGGAGAATACTATGGTTTAATGAAAGGCGAATGACGTGATAGTTGCTCCAATTCTCTACCACAGACGTCGTCAATGCTCTTTTGACACGGGGATAAGATACGCTACAATATAGACAAATATAAAAGATATATTAATACATATTAGATAGAAACAATAATAAGATAGTACATCAGAACTGCACACAATTTACTAAGTATCAGGCTTAGTCAGTAATAGCTAGGTGTTTCTTTTGCACCCGTATCAACTGGTCTGGGCAGGACCTCTGCACCACGTCGAACGACAGATGAGTTACTACGGAGAGCGATTTGGACCTGGCCGCTAGGAGGGCTAACCGACAGTACGTGCACAAGCTGAGCAGGATGCAGAGACGAAACTGTAGGAGGAGCTGGAACGAGAGAACAAAGGCCTACGAAAGGAAATAGAACGGATTGAAGGTCATTCATCAACAGTTGTCTCTATAGTAATCAGATGCATGGAGCTCGCTAATGGTATATACACATACTTGATAGGCCTGCTTTGCCTTATGAACTGTCTATTGATTCAGCTCAGGCCGAATATTTGTTGTCTTGACAGCTATTTGGACACCCCACGTTTAACGAAAGACATCTCCACGATAATTGTGCTTATTATATCAGGACAGTGCGCATTTCAGCAGTGACACACTCTCCCACCCATGTCGTTCCTTATTAGTTGAAGCTCACTAGAATCGTCTGCACTGTTTATATAGTAGCATTGAAATAGTGGAACTACGCTGCCGAGAACACTGCTAAAATTAAGACAGAGTACCGCACCTCTATTCCCAAGCACTCCTCCACTTCCTCCTCCTGCAATCACACTACATAAAATATAGGACAAAACAAAACCATAGAAGCCCCGCCAACAGCAAAAACTCGGACTCGCTTCCAAATAAAACGGCACTCCCACGCCCCTAACAACAGAAAGTTTGAGCCCCGAGATAGCAGGGTACACCTCGTCGAACTTGTGCTGATTGTGCTGTCCGGGTGAGAGGGGCTCCACTGTATCTGTTGGGTGTCTGTGTTCTGTTTTGATCTCTGGCTGGGTTGGGCGGGAATGCTGGCGCGGTGAAAGCAAGGCGAAGAGAGGATCGACGGCAACTAAACGCAAAGAGTCAAACGACCTCGATAGGCGCAGAGCCGAAGAGAGCACAACAGAGAATGCGGACGTTGCGAGCGTCAGGTCGACCAGATTGGAAGGTGCGAACTGGAGGATGGAGACAGTTTGACGAAGACTTGCTGTCATTCTTACTCCCTCTACACCTAGACTATGATATAGAAGCTCTCTCGCGCGTATTACTGTATGGCCCTAGGATATTCTCGCCCATCTATACTCCCCCTCCCCGCTTTCTCTGGGTTTCTGTCCCTCTCTCCCTCCCTCTTATATCCAATTCCACAGCGACTTGAGCAGGCAGAGGACACTACGAGAAAGCCAAGAAGAGCTCGAAACCACTGACTGGCTCGCGAATTGGGAGTACTGTATGGGCAGCGCCTCTGGCAAAATAGTTCATCTTGTTTTGCAGTCACATCAATCGAGCTGACTCTCCAGAAGATGTAAATTCTAAACTTGAGGCTTCGTCCACTTGTAGTAGCTACAGTTAGCTATTTAGTTTTCGGATTTATGTGATTTTGTGCACAGCATGTGTTGTGCTGCTGAACTACCTTCTGTAATATTTGCAACATTTGCTGTGAATTTTTTCTAGTGGCTAGCAAATTTAGGGTGCTGATACGATTTGATTTAACTTCATGAGCAACAATGTTTTGTAGGCTATTTTTTCACATTGCCCCCAAATTTTAACCACAGACATTCACAGCCAGGTTTCGCTGCAGAAGTACAGTCAATGAGATTAACTCATTCGTGATTGCTAAGAACCGAAATTCACGTGCTGTGGTTCGGCAAACAGGTCGTGACTATGGCAAAATGTAATGGACCAGTTGAATAAAATTGTGAGCTTCATGATTATTAGAATGTTTGTGATTGCATGGAGTTGCTTCGTTGAGCACAACTTGGTGCAAAGCAAACACAGTACCGGCGATTCTCACGAACAGTTCAGTACTGAGTTGCTACACTGTGTGTGCGGACATGCACATGGTGTGTGAGGATAGCTGGTTTTCCTTGTGTCGTTTCCTGGTTTCGAAAGCGGATAAGGTGTAATCACTGACATGGGGTTTTAACTGAGGTATGCACCGTTTGGGAAGACAGAGGAAACTCAAAAGGACTGCAGCAGCGCTGCGGTGCGAAATCCGATCGACGGGCGCATGCGCAGTGTTCTAATTATTCGACACAGTCTGAAATTTTGTAATGCGCACTACGTCCATCACCATGACAACCAGTAAACAACGGCCGCCTTCTCTGAGCTAAAAGAGGATGAGTGTACGCACCTACAATCCTAGCGTCCGCGTTGGGAACTGGAATGAAGATCTGTGCCTAGAAGAGGTCGGGAAGTCCGCAAATCTTGCTATGGCGCTAATAGACTAATCTTGCGTTCATAGGAGCAACTGAAGGACTTTCTGGAGAAGAAAGACAGGGGAGAGCTGACGGTGCAGAAAAAGACAAATTTCCTCAAGACTATCCTCAGAAATGTCAGTCAGTTCTCCTCAACCTACAATTTCTTATACAGAACGAAGTGTCTTTATTCTTCACATCCTCTTCCACAGGTTGAACTGTCTAAACCCAGTGATGGTTACCTCCATATCGGTGACAGAGTCTGTCTGTTGCACACGCCGACAAAGACGGTGGTGTCCGCCCACGTCACATCGGCCAGGGCTTTTGACGCCACTCGACTGGAGAGCGGATGTGGGGTGACTTGCTCTCGGCAGCTCACTCCATGCCCACGAAATGTCTTCGTCATTACGAGGTACAGAGGTGTCTTGTACATAGCTAATAATTATATTTGCAGAGAGTAGTTGAGATAAAAGTTAAGAGGAAAAAACCAACACCTGTTTCTCTCTCCGTAATTATAATATCGGACTCACTGATATACATGTTTCATCACAGTTATGGTGAATCAGAGGCAAAAGAGGGTGAAGTAGTGTGCTACGGCCAACCAGTGGCTCTTGTGACACTTCCCGACGAAGGTGGACAGGTAAAGTCATGCGTTTCATCTATCGTGTTACTATCTCGGTCCTCTCCCTCTTGCTTTAGCTTGGTCTGCACAGTGATAGAGCCACATTCACCAAACACTCGCGGTTCTCTCGAGAGCAGGAGGTTCTACTCGAGGAAGACATCAGCTACAACTCTGCTTGGTACACAATATAGACCACCCATTAGCCTATGAACATAATTAACAAACAACCCTCATTTCTCACTTTTCACCTTCCAGGAAGTTTATATGTTTCAGTCAAGATGAAAGGCTTGAAACAGAAGGAACTCCTGTACCCGTGAGTAGGCTTGAACGTGGTTTACATTATACCCATGGTGTATATACGTACGTATGCACCCTTTCTTTCCACTGCTGTGTATATACATTACAAAGGCCAATACCAGAGTGTTCCTCAACCACTGCAAGACAAACCACAACCTGGCAGTACACGAAGAGTGGACTTACAAGTACGTTAAAAAAGCTGGCAATCTGGTTTTCTGGTTGCTATCAAAGATGTGTCGGGAAATTGCATGTACACACTCTAATGTAGTGGATGATTGCTCACTGCCTCTTTCTCTGTCCTTCTATTATACTTAATTTCCCTCATGCAGGACTCCATTTGGAAGAGAGCTAGAGGTGACAGGACACACCCACCTCAACACACACAAGGCAGAGGACGTCCACAACCATTTCATGGTGGTCACAGGCAGTCTGGAGGACGCAGTCGCCTCGCTCTCTCCCTCTTCTTGAGATCTTTACTCCGTAACCTCTTCCAACATTGTATACTAGTGTACCTGGATACATACAGTATATATATGCTACGGGAATTGTGTTCTATTTTCATTCTATAAAGAGCCACATTGTACAACATAACACTGTTGCATGCTGCATTAGAAAAAAACATAAAAGTTATAACGAATCACTGCTGCATTGGTATATATTCCAAAAAACATAAGTATGTCTTTTAAGATGGTTTATCTTGAATGGAGCACTGTGATAGAGAAAGCAGAGGTGAATAATGTTATAGAATGCGGGGTTTCTTATATATAATATACCTTCTTCTTCTTTGGACAGTAGCAACATGCCCTACAGAGGAAATTGTAAGGTTGGGATGACGTGATATTATAGGTGGACAGAGAAAGAGTGGGAGCGAGATAATAACAACGAAAGGTTGAAGGGGAAAAGAATAAAGTTTTAAGCGAGAGAGGCGGGAAAGACGAAAGGTTGAATTTAGCAAAAAGAAGAAGAGGTGTGTAATCATGTGTGACTGATCAAGCTAACCACGTGGGCTTATGATTTCGGAGATACGACACGAGCGAGTGGCCCTTGTGACAGATTTCAGCACACGGCTGGCACACCCCTGACAGAGAGGGAAAACCCTTCCATCATAACACTCCTCTAAACTCACTCCCACTCACAGTTGAATCCGCAGTCTCTGCAGGTGAAGTAGTCTATGCCGCGAGCTGTCTGTCCCTTGACAAAAGTGGCAGCAAAACACTGCAGAGGAGTCTCTCTGTGTATATAATAATAGGAGGAGTTTCTATAAAGTACAGTGGAATCTCATTATAAAGAACACACTTAGTACGAAATTATGGATACTACAAACACACCCTCGGAGCCTAGCACTATAGAACACTTGCTGTGAACAAGTTCTTTAGGTCCCCAGCAATTCATTCCATCGAGACTCCACGCTATATTTTAGCTGGTAGAGAAAATATTACTACGGAACACGCAATTTCGACCTACAGCCTTTTTCAAACTCTGAAACTCGAAAAAGGTGGTATGTATGTAGAGAGTATGAATAAACTCCACTCCTTCCCTCTCCCTCCCCTTACCCCACAAGACGATGGCTCCCTTGAATCTCAGCTCTGGCCTGGTTTCTGCAGGAAACATTTAGCATCAGACGTTTCAGGTGCTGAGAAAATTTAATAGTGACTACACCAATGTGATATAGCGATGGTTGCTTTCGCAGACTGAGACATACATGTTTCTTTTAGCTCTCAAAACAAATGAAACTCAATACTCACCAGACAGAATTCTAACAGTGGTTTGCAGTCTGCGTGTAGCACCTGATCCAGTATGTTCATCTGACCTTTGATCCCACCCGATGCTCTCTCGTCGTCATGGTTACCACTGTTAGCTCCACCCACCTGGGACTCGTCGGCCACGCCTCCCTCGTTAGTACGAGCAAACGGACTGGAAATGGCGAGGGAACGGTGGCTAATCTGGCCACCAAGGTTAGTTAGTGCTAACTTGATGATGGAGACGGCAAACTCCTCACACGGAGGAAACTCAGCTATGGCCATGCCCGACTCTTCCATGGCCGACCGCAGCTTCTTCAAACACAGCAGCCATGCTGTCTTCGGGCGCAGGATGACCTCGGGGGCCAGAAATTGGCGCTCGGGGACGAGAGAGAGACCGTGACTGGAATGGTGGACGGAGAGGGCAAGTACTCAGTGAGGTATCTGTAGGAACAACAGACGCATTATACACCAATAGACTTGGAAGCCAATGGCATATTTGTACATTATAGTATTTTACCCTCGGCGCGCATGCGCAGCGAGGATACTGTAGTTGGGTTTGTCTCTGTATATACTGTCTGTCTGTCTGTCTGTCTGTCTGTCTGTCTGTCTGTCTGTGTGTCTGTCTGTCTGTCTGTCTGTCTGTCTGTCTGTGTGTCTGTTACTCTACATCTCACTTCTCGGGTGTCTGTTCGTCCCAGAAACGATACCATCTACCCAACGGGCGAAGAGGGTCAGAAAATATGTGGGGTTTTCTCTGAAAATGATCCGTTGCAGAGCTAGAGCATTGTATGGCTAGTCGCCATTTTATCGCTGGCGGATAATGCGCATGCGCTTACCTATATTTAGCACGACCGCGCCGCGCGGGTCCGCTTGCTCTGTCTATCTTGAAGGCACAAGAGAATGGCGTGTATCGACTCTCGCGTGCTATCTACTACTGTAGCTAGCCCGTGTCAGACTCTCTGCGAGCTACTTCGCCGAGGGTTTGCACTTTAGTGCTTTTCTACACTGTTCCCATTCAAGTAATGGTGGAGGTCTGATGGATAAGCACCCCCTCTCTTGATCGTGAGGTCCTGGTTCGATCCTGGTTCGATCCCGGGCGGGGGTGTGCGCCTTTTTTACAATGATGTAATAGGAGTGTTGGCTGTTGGTGGTATAAATGGAACGTTTTTTCATCACCTCTCCAGGCCAGCCCGAGTGGTTAGAGTCGTGGGGACTGACACCATAGGTGCCCGGTTCGAGGATTCGAACCCGCACTAAAATGTCAGGTGGTCCAGAGCATTGGCTGGGAACAGCTCTGGTTCCTCCCCTTACCCACAAATCTACCACTGAACCATGTTTCTCAAAGGGCAGCGTACAGTTCGGCATAGCACTGCGTCCGTAGACGTCTGTCTGGAGAGATGAAGGGCTGGGCGTTTTTTTAATTTTTTCCTCAACCTTAGGTTGTTTTTTTTTGCACTAAAAATCCACAGTAATACGAAAATTAATAGAGAGATGAAAGGTTGGCATTTTTTCAACCTTATATATTTTTTGGGCCTCAAACACATGGAAACATGGGGCTGGCCATTTTTTCCATGCTGTTCTTTTTGATGCATGGTCAAGACCATCAATTGTGGTGGTGCCACACTTGTGTATGGGTCCACAAGTGTGCCGAGGGTTTGCACTTTAGTGCTTTTCATTTCATCAGTACCAGGAGGTTTACAAGGTTTCTGAGTACTGATGACTTGAGACAAACGTAGAACAGTGGGGAAGCTTTACCCACTGTACTGCATTATGCCTGCCTGTCATAGGTGGAGGTGAGCAGTTGTTCCGTCTTCTCCAGTTCCTTGGCCAACATCTCCTTCTTCTCCTCTCCCTTCATCTCTATCTCAACAGCTGTGAGAGCCTCTCTGAGGTGGAGGGAGGGTTCAACTGCTAACTACAGGGTGCTTTTAGTGTATACACCCATGCTATGAGGACCTCTCCAATAAGGACACCTTTAAAGTGGAACTTTTATCTGAGGACACTCGGAAATGAGGACACCTTACAGTGTGGAGCCATTCTCTGAGGGACGCCACCTGAAATGAGGACACCTTTTCCAACAGTTCTTTGCTAACAACTGAATATGACACCTCACTGATATGGACATGTTCTTCCATCCAATTAGTGTCGGGATTAGAGGGGGTCCCTACTGTAAATCCATGGCAACGTACCTGGGTGGTCAGGGTCGTGGGGGAAGTTCCTCATCGTTTTCTCAGTGAGCAGCTGTTTCTCTAGAGCTATTTTCCCCAACGCTCTCTGGTAGTCTACTATCACTTGCTGCAGTCAAGTCATGGATGGAAAGAGTACACCACACGCACATAGATATGCAGGCAGCATTCTTCTGCACTCATACGTGATTGCCCTCGTTACACTTTCATACTTGTTAGAAAGAACTGTAATGAGCTACTCTGTATATACCGGTTTTACAGCTATGGGAGTATCAGCTTTTTATCAACATTTTCACTAGCAAATAATACGATCTTAAGTGTATACAACTTGAAATCGCTTTGCTGTTGGCTCAATTCCTAGCCGTATATTGTGCGAGGCACTTAGTCTGTAGTCAAAATTGTTTTAGCATGTGCCCCGTCAGAAGACAATGCCCCATTCATCGTCAGGCACCACTGAATAAGCAGACCCAGACATACCTTTCTCCATATAGTGTAGTATTTTGATATCATTCCATATACTGCGCGAGTGAGTGATTCGTTTTAGCTACAGTGTCACTATATATGTATAAGCTCACCCTGGTGACATGTCTCGTGCAGTGTAGCGAGTATGCTTCATGCGTGTGGTCCGTGTTGGAACAAATTCTATACGATCATTGCTACACGCGACTATACTAAGAGCTACTGTATATCGAGTTATTACTATTGAGCTACAATCAGTACATTGTAATTATAGCTATGTTCACGTACTTCTAAGGATAGATTCAAGAGGTGACTCGACTACACGCGATCCATCTGTTGTGCCACCAAATGGAGCATCAGTTGCTAGAATAAAGAGAGAATTCTCTCATAAAAATCATCTGAATTTTGAGGGACACATGTGAGTGTGAGAAATGGACCAGCAGTTAGGAGAAGTTCATCGCAGTATTACAGCTGAGTAGCTATACATTATACCTGCATCAACCAGTTGTTGATAGTATTCTCGCTCTGCTTTTCTTCTCTCGTCTCGAACACTCCCTGCAATTAACAAACAATGAGGCCTCAAGGGAGCAGATTGGCCACCCAATCAGATTGCGGGCTCACTCATCAGAGCTGCAAAGGAATGATCGACGATGACGTCATCCCTATTTAGTCGCCCGTCTATGCAGCAGCGGCACCCGTGACGCGATTATGCGCTCTCTCATGCCCTTGTGGCAGAATCGGCGTGGCCGCACTTGTCAACGCGACGGAGACTCCGGTCAGTCAGTCGACAATGCATATAGGCACTGGGCATGCGCGTACAGCGGCGTGAAACGCTGGTGACTGAGTACAGACATCTAAGTATGACTGGGTTTTCTCGCGCTACGTACGGATTTGTAGAGGAGAATCGCTGAGTCTCCGGTGCTGCGATCTAGGTTTCACAGTTGGCTTTCCCGTCCTTCTGCCATAGCTCTGTCCTGGACTCACGCTCCTTGGCTCTGCTTTCCTCGATGCCTGCGGACGCAAGTGGGTCGGGCACGCCCGCCACATGCGTGCGCACACACAGTACACATGAGACGACGTCCATAAAGCACATTCCGTTGCAGCCAGTCCGTTACACCCAAAGCTCCACCACACACGCGGGCGTGTGCGTGGCCTGCAGCTCCACGTCTCCGAGTTCTCTAGTCGAGGCTTAGAGGAGCGCGTAGGCCGGGAAGGAAAGTCGGATTCTTGCGCGTTCGTGATCTCAGCTTTGCTGGACTCATTCTGCAAGACCGTACAAAGATCTGCCTTACCGCGCCGTGGCTGCTGTAGCGCGTGACCATATACTGTGAGTCTAATTATATGCTACACCGCACACCTGGGGTTGTGTGACGGTATATAAATGAGTGATGGAGACGTGAAAGTAGGACGACTGTGAAAGTTTGGCTGTGATAAGATTCGTATCTAAACAGAACGTAAGTGCCCCATTAGGGATCAAATGGGGTCTCAGGGTGGTGGATTTGTACAGGGAACGGGTGAGCTCTTTGTGTGCATGTGGGGTCGCCGTTGAAAATTGAAAATATGTCTCAATGTTCATCTCCTAACTAGCTGCAAGAGGTGGTGTGTGTTCTTGTGGATTAGTGTTTGCAGCGTAAGTTGTGTGTGTAGGTGTGTGTGTGTGTGCTCTGGGCAAGCTGTGCGGATTCCTGTCTTGGACCTTCACGAACACAGCTGATCTGATACTCAGGGTTGGCCTGGATGACAGGGTCGATTTATACCCCCATACACCCATATTACCTTCAGCAATGGACACCATTCACGCCACAAATGTGTCCTTCTAGGCCTGCACCAGGAAAACGTACTGTGCCCTACTCTCCCATTCAGGAAAAAGTTTCCTGCTTTGCAAAGTTATATAAATGATACATACCCCCATTACGCTGTGTGTACTACAATGGTGGGGAATTGTGCTGTTAAATAGCTGTGTCTCTCCTTTTGGACTTCATTACATAAATATGCACTAGTATATATGCCACCGTACGTTTCTAGGTCAAGCTAACTAGCAAAACCACCTCATTCAACGGTGAAAGAAACTCTTAGACCCAAGGCCAGCTTATCAGCCATCTTTGGCTAAAATCCCTCCTTCACTTGTATATACTCCTGTCTTTTTCTATTCTCTTTTTTGTTTAACCCCTTTGTTTCTAGGTATATTTGTCTTAACCCCTTGGTTTCTAGGTATTATATTTGTCTTAACCCTTTGTTTCTAGGTAATTTGTCTTAACCCTTTGTTTTAGGTATATTTGTTCAACCCCTTTGTTCTAGGTATGGTGGCGTGGTAAAGCATGCTAGAGGTTTGTATGTGGACACCACCTGTAATTATGTGGTTTCCCTTTAACAAATTGATTTTTAAGTGGATGCCTTACGACAGTTTTTGGGCCTTTGCAACATTCTCTACTGAAGACAGGCTTGTGTGATGTCATAGGCTTCTGTGGTTCCTTGTTTTAACAACCAAGTGTATATACAACCAAGTGTACAACCCAAGTATATATACAACCAAGTGTACAACCAAGTGTACAACCAAGTATATATACAACAAGTGTACAACCAAGTATATATACAACCAAGGGTACAACCACGTATATATACAACCAAGTATATATACAACCAAGTGTACAACCAGTGTACAACCAAGTGTACAACCAAGTGTACAACCAAGTGTACTCGTAATTCCTGCGTTTCCTGGTTCTAAGGAACGTACAAACATGGGGGGGGGGTGCTTCTCACTTTCCACGAAACCATATGAGCGATAGAAGGAGGAGAGGGAGGATAGAAAGAGGAGAGGGAGCGATAGAAAGAGGAGAGGGAGCGAAGTAGAAGGAGGAGAGGAGCGATAGAAGGAGGAGAGGGAGCGATAGAAGGAGGAGAGGGAGCGATAGAAGGAGGAGAGGGAGCGATAGAAGGAGGAGAGGGAGCGATAGAAGGAGAGAGGGAGCGATAGAAGGAGGAGAGGGAGCGATAGAAAGCGACAGAAGCGGCTAATGGGTTGGCCAAAAACTTTAACTAGTCTCCTCCAATCCAAATGTCGGGCCTACAAATTTTCACAAACGACTATATATTAAACTCTTCCTCGAAGTTTTTTTCACAATACGAATTATATTGCGATCGAATCACCACCTGCAGTCGAGTTACCTATCCATTATATTGGTCTGCATGTGTGTATATGTATACTGAGGCAGTTATATATATATATATATATGAACCAGTTCTATTGCTACTGTCTCATTGTGTGGGCTGGTAGTGTATAGGATATACAAGGTCTGCATGTGTGTATATGTATACCGAGGCAGTTATATATATAATATATATGAACCCAGTTCTTATTGCTCCTGTCTCATTGTGTGGGCTGGTAGTGTAATAGATATACAAGGTCTGCATGTTCGTGTACATTGGAGTTATTAGCCGATGCTCTTGTAGCTATGGCAATGGAATCAGTGGGTTTGCGTATGTTTCTGAGCCTCATCCGTACTATCATCAGCTGCTGCACGGAGAACTACACAGAAATAAGGATGAGAAACTAGAGTGTAGTAGTAGAGTAGTGCTGATGGAACTTGTAGGCTCAAATTATGACATAATCATAGCCCACATGTTTCTATTCTGCCCGTCCCTAAAGCTACCATAACATGGAGAGTTTGTGTTTAATGCAGGAACGCTGCAAGAGAATGTCGGCCCAGTGGGACGCTATGCATTGCCGCTCACAGTCACACCTCACACAAACAAAATGTGAGTTTCTCTTGACAAACTCTTTATACTTATTTTCTCACTTTCCACGTGTATGCCATAATGCTCTGCATTCTCTTTGTATGTATATTGTTAAAATCATGTGTTCAGAACGTCAAAATAGCCTGCGCTAGAAACCAAGTATGAATTGTGTTTATTGTGCTACATATTAGGCACCCCTGGGTGGTGGTATTTTGTACTCTCTACTTATGCTTTTACTGAAAGGGAAACAGCCTTTACCGTAGTGAAAACACTGTCAAATACACACAGCTTACCACGCACAACGTTGATGTTTTCCTTTACCAGTAACTTCTCTACACAAACCATCCGTTCTGAATGTGTAGACCTTTCAATGGTATTGAGCGATCTCAGGCAGTGATGTCATAGTGAGTGGCATAATCCGTAATCTGATTGGTCGGTTGCTGACACACCCACAGAATTTGCGCCGGTAGCAGCATTGAATAACCCCAGGAATTTTGGGGGAGTTTTTGTGTTAGAGACACAGTTAACAACATGATGATCGAAGTATAATGTAAGTTATGTATTCTTTACTAGAGTGTATATACAAGATAATTGTGAGTTGTCCTCTAACCTTGGGGGAACCTCTAGATGAAGTGTACAGCACGTTGCAACCACTGAAAGTGTTGGCCAAGGTTGTCCTATATTATTTCAGAGTGCATTAATCCTCTGTGGTACACTGACATGCTTAATTAGTAGCTAAACAGGTCCTTTATAGAGAGGTGTCCTATAATATATAGAGTATCCTAAAAGGTGTCTGAAATGTGATTTTTGATTCTCTCTCTCTTTCCATTTCAGGAGCTACAGTTTGAGAAAGGAGATGTGGTGACTCTAATTGATGAGCCCTCAGGGGTGAGCTAGCTAGGGTTGTCGCTTTGAACGACACTTGTAATGT